ATCTTATCTTTCAATGAAACGTTCCAATCAAAAATTCTACCTTTTTGGAATTATAAATGAAGGGGGTAATAGCAGTAAAGAGTATTCCCAAATGGAGTATGATTTTGATTTGAAGATACAATGTTTAAATAACTGTATGTCAACTGACACTCGCCCAACAACTGCCTTCTATGATTATAACGGTTGTGTTTGCTCATATGCGTAAAACTTGTACCATCTCTAAAACTTTGTGAAAAACATGATCAGATTAAACTTTCTTTTCGTAAACAATGCATATGAGAATATGGTTGTCTCGTTAATTTAAAAAAAAGAAAAAAAAAAAGGAAAACTTATCCAATTACTAATTATATTAATTGTTATTCTTCTAATTATTATTCTATATCATCATAATTATCATACTTCAATTATACTTTGATTAATTATACTTAACTATTTAATAATAGAAATTTTGTGTTCACGTGTTTTTACTTTCACGAATATATTGAAAATTTGGAATTCGTTTATTTTATTTCCTTGAGAACAAGTTTAAATTTCAATATATTTCGTTTTTTGCGGAAATTGTTAAAGTTTTATGGTACATTTAACATTAATCCCAAATAGATTTAATAATTATTAAATGTGAAAATCGAATACGCAATCTATGGTAAGAAGTAAGCTCAAGTAAAAACTTGTAACTAAAAAGTTACATAATTGTATAAGACGTTAAATTAGAGATTAGCGTAAAACTAGTTCTTATTGGTAGGAAAAAATAAGAACACATTGATTTTGATCGGTCCTGTATGAGATACGTTAAAGTATTTCGTTTTGCTTGGAAAGTCCAGTAAACGGAAACGTGAAATGAATATGTGTGCCTTAACTATCGTATTTACTATTTTTGCTTAAACATCTAAAGGCTTATCTAGGCTAAAATTCAAATTGTCGATTGGTTTGCAAGTATCACACGTACCTATTTGACGTATACATTCGACCGACCCCTTCTTCCTACTTACTTACTTACTTACTTACTTACTTACTTACTTACTTTGATGTATGACAATGAGTATTCGGAAAGAGACGATTGTGTGTCTACTTGGAATGAGAATTACGTTACACTTTTTGACTCTACGGGTCATTTTCATTTTCTCACAATCAAATCGAAAAGATAACTATTGTCATTTGTCATTTTTTATAATCAATATGTAGTATATTATGAAGTGTAGTATATTTATTTATAATTATTCATAAGAAAGTCATACATCAAAAGAAAATTCAATGAATTGCAAGGAACTATTGACGTATTCTTTTACTATGGGAACTCAAGTAAGTTGTAACAATCATACGTTACCAAATCCCAGTATTATTCTACTCGATGTACAACTAGTGTTTGAACTAGTTTGCTTCAGCTGTAAACCCGGTTGGAGAGGAAATGTTTCGATCACACACCTCCAACATTCTCACCGTGTCATTAACTACGACTAACTAAGCAATTTTGCTTTTTTCCTATCGTTGTTGCAAATTATTGCAAAGAATAATATCGGGCCTTACAAAAGTTCATTTCTTTTTATCTATATATAGAATTATTAGCAAATCAAAATTTCGATAGTTTAGCCATTCTCTTTTTAAACGCGAAAGAAAGTACGACCTGAAAAATATTTTATATCATTTAACTCTTTACGGAACAGGATTTCAGATAATAAAATAGAAATTGGATGAATTTGTTGCAGTATTTGGGATTAAAAATGTCCCAGCATGCATTACGGTGCATATCCCAAAGAAAGGGTATTTCTTTTGTATTATTTAACAAAATAAAAAGGATAAGTAAATAATGTAGGCCGAAAGCGCGTACGAGATCCTAACGACATACCAAAGACACGCCCGTTTCTACGTTCCCTCTATCTGACATTTCTATGTGGGAAGGATCGTCGGATATTGCTATGTGTGTATGTGTGTATTTGCATATATTGACTGATTGTTTAATCTTTTGTCTAATAGTACAATTTGTTCTTTTTATAAAATCGATGTCTCTCGTTAACTTCATTCTCCATTTATAAGAACTCATTCGATTGAGAACGTTCCAATTTCTTGCTATTTTTTTGTTTTTTTTTTGTTTTTTTTTTTTTGTTTTTTTTTTCATTCTTTACTGTGCTTCTGGATTAGGGCAGTTATGTAATCGGAATGTAGTTTGTAATGCGCATACGAATGAAGCTACTCCTTCTTTCTTTTTTTCATTCTTTCTTGAAATCCTAGTGATTATATGCATAGGTGTATATTAATTAGATCTCCTACGTGAACGCGTGCAATCATTTTACAGTTAGTTGGTTGGTATAACACGTTAGGCACGCGATAGGCACGCGATAGGCACGCGCTATTCGAGACATATATTCGCGCACAAGTTTATGGAGCTAAATCGAACATATGCTACTTTAACGTCTACTTTTTATGTACACTTACTCTTCTTCAATAGGACAACTTCAATTACGTCCAGTCATCTAACGTTACTTTTCTCAAGAGTAAATATTTATTGATTTTTTTCTCTATAACATACTCACACTCTTTAAAGACAAAAGAGGGATGACATTGGCGGGTAATGGGTTAAAATATTTCTTTCAAAATACAAAATATCTGAGGAAGTTTAACCTTGATCCCAAATGAACAATAACTGCAACCGGATACTAAGGAAGGTACGTGTAATCGATTCACGGCACGAGTTCAACCTACATTGACAAGTTCCACTTTTTTGTTAGTGATTTGTATTCCAGTCTGATAGAGTACTAAGCTTTGTATTTATGCGAAAGAAAAAAAAAAAAACAGATCGTAACTTTTTTATTTGTCGTAAACTCGGTTACAATGACATTATCATTAATCGTTTTGTAATGTCTCGATCATTTTATTTCGAATTTGCAAGATTTCAAATTGAACAAAAAATCTTTTCGTTAAAATAACAAATAACGATTTAGTAGGAAAGCGTTAATTGAGAAGAAATAAATTGGAAAGAGGTGAAAGTTATGAAGGAAGTTTGCACATAAGTGCAAAAAAAAAAAAGTGTATGTGTGAATATCCGTAAATGACGATGACGCGGGATTGTAGGGGATCGTTCGGATATTATAATGTCCTATAGGACAATGATGATGGATAAGTGCCGTAATCTGACTAGAAGAAAGAATGATTACACAGGTGGTAAAGAAAAATACTAAAAAATACTAGAGAATGCTAATGAGAAGAAGATGAAAAAGGAAGAGAAGGTAGGAGAGAATGCAGTGGACTCGCGGCGTCACGTTACAACGGTAAATGCCGATGAAATCCTACGACGAAGGACGTCGGGTTGTTGTTATTGTTGCTTCGAGATGATATATGTTTGAAATTATTTCTGCAATTCTATGAACAACGAACGGTATATTGCTAAGTACACTCATACATATATACGTATATATACTTTATGTGTATGTAAAATTACAATTAATTCTAATGAAAATATAATTTAGTCAAACAATAATACCAATTTTGATATCAAAGTAGGAAACAATAGATTGTTTTTAGCAAAATCACCTAACAGTGATTTGTAGAATCCGTTAGTATCCTCTTTAGTTTACATACTTGCATAAGATCATTTAGATAGATCTAGGTCTTCGATCGAGAACAAATATTAAATCGAAGTGAATGAATATCGATCGAGCATTCCTTTAAATTGTTCAATTGATAATTTACGACACGTCTGCCAAATCCGTTAAGAATCTAATTAATGTTATTGACGAATCGTTTAACTGGATTTATTTGAATTAGTTTATCTATACAAATGTGTACGCGTGTGTATATTTGCACGTCTTTCATATTCGACTTTTACCTATAAGATAATATTTCAACAAAAGTTGCGTGAATCGCGTTTTGATCAACGTGACTAGAGATATATATATATATATATACCTATAGATATACGTATAGATATACGTATAGATATACGTATAGATATATTTATCCTCTCACCATGCAGCAATCCATGTGTTTCTCACAATCACACAATGAGTCAAGAAGCAATCGAGTATATCGAGTTCAGTGTAGCTTTCTCAGTGTAATAACCAGGATCATATACATATATGTATATATGAGAAATGTGTTAATAAAAAAACGATATTGTTAACTCACACTATCCAATAGCTGACATTAATCATATTTATGGATACATTTGAACGGATATTTTAAAGAGGAAACATTAGATGATATAATTGTTTTTCTTAACAATAAAGGATAAAAGCTAGGATGACAGAGATAACGTTTATAATAAAAAAAAAAAATTAAAACAAAACATAGCACGAAAAGTGGATATTTTAAAAAGAAAATTAATAGGAAAAAAAAAAATGTGAAAGTTTTTACTAGCTTATATAATCCATATATTCATTGGAGACTTATACACTTACGTCGACAGAATGGAAGGTGGCCGTGGAATATTTTAGATTGTAAGAATGTAAAACATTCACTATTAATTTTATAAGTTTAAGTATAAAAATAATCAAAATAAGGATTGAAAAGCCTTGAATGACTGTTGCCAAACCTGACCGTAACGAAAATTATGTTTGTCATTGATATATTGAATGTATATTTTTATCGAACGTGAGATCATCATTTAGAAAAAAGAGAAAAGAGATGATGCGATCAAAAGTCGCGTAAAAGTTTCCCTTTTGCCTTATGCCAAGCCAGCAGGAGACACATAAGGACTTTTCTCCGGTTGGATTAGAAGTGAGCGTATGGAGGGAGAGAACGTGAGAGACGGGGACTTGTCTCTTGAAAGTTAGAAATTTATCTTTAAGGTGAAATTAGTATGGAAGACGATACTAACAATTTATCACAAGAAGAAACAACAATCTTGATTTCTCTAATAAGCTGACTCTTGGCTAATGTATTATATTATTTACTATATTACTAATTATTATTTAAATAAATGTTATTCTTACAAACAAATAATATAAGGAAGTAAATAAAAAAGATACTTATAAAGTATTATATTAGCATGTAAATGTAACACTCACCCTCTGAACGAGCAGTAACTGTAACAGTTAAGAGCACAATGCTAAATAGAAGAAGTTTCGTAAATAAAAGTTGCCACATATCTTCGCCCATCTGTTGTTTGACAATTCTCTTCTTAAAACAATATATATACATATATTCACTGTCATCAAAACCAACCCCCACGTGATCACGTAGTCGATTCCATGGAGTAGCACACAAAAATATTACGTTCAAATCTTATCTTTACTTCTTTTTCTTCTTTTTATCTTGAATTTTCTATTATCAATGATAGACGACGACAAAAGTCAATGAAAAAAATATATAATGACGAATAAAGAAGCTACCAATAGCAATAAGAAAAGATAAGATCTAAAGAATGATCTTGGACAATGATCGATAGTTTCACCTAGTTAACGGAGAACGGTCGCGAGTTTATCCGTAACTCGACTCACCAAGTAGACGACGACCGAATAGACAACCGAGTAGACGACCGAGTAGACGACCGAACGAACGACCGAATAGACAACCGACCGATTGACGTTTCTCTGGGTGCGTAACTTTGTCTGTGTCTCGGTGAGTACTGAAGGAGAACCAAGGCCCACCAAGTGTTGGGAACTGGAGAAAGGTGTATATCCAGCGAGAGGTCGAGTACTAACAGGGAAAGAGAGAAAGAGACAAAAAGAGAGGGAGAGAAAGAGAAAGAGAAAGGGAGGGAGGGAGGCTGAGGAGGGAGCTTGAAGAAATACGTTGAAAGAAAGACAAAACCAGATAAAGATAATTAGGGGGAAAAAGAAAGAGAAAAAAAGAGATATGTAGATAGGAGACCGGAGAAAGATAGAAGGAATAGGTTGATTATGAAGGTAGATTCAAATGAGGATTCTCTAAGAATGAGGAATCATCCCTTCCCCTATTCTTCTTCTTCTTCTTCTTCTTCTTCTTTTCTTCTTGTTCATTTATTTTTGTCTATTTTTCTTCTCTATTCTCCATTCCGAGTCATAGACTCGGTACCTCCTAATACATACTACTACATCGGGGTCCATAGCTTCTTTCTACAACTTCGACCCAGACTCGAGGATCTCGTAGCCGCCTTATTTCCGAGCTGGAAGCGTGAGCTCGGATAAAAGAGCAAGAGAGAAAGAGACAGATCCGGCTTTACGTAGCCCAGCTTCGTTGTATTTTGTGTCACCTCTTGCTTTGCCTTGTCTTGACTTGTCTTGGCTTGACTTGACTTGACTTGACTTGACTTGTCTTGACTTGGCGGTGGCATAGGTTGTACTGCTCTTGTTACTGATATTCGGAAAACTGTACTTCTTGTCCACCCGTTATATGTTGCACCGAACGAACGACCGGTCTATTACTATATATACGGGTCTGCGGGTCTTTTCAAAGACAAATTGAAAAAAAAAGAAATAAAAGAAATAATTATCTTAGAAGTCTAATTTACTTTGACTTTGGGATGATAAAAAATGAGGTATTTTTGAATAACGAATTACATTACATACACATTTCGTTTTCTACGTACTTTCTGAGGTAACAGAAAGAGAGAGAAAGAAATTAACTTTCGCTTATCGAAATTGTTTATATTTCAAGAGACGCAAAACTTTACGCGAAACTCTACGCCAAACTTTTCTTTCTTTCTGTAATTCATTATTTTTGTACTAATTTAATTGTAATACTTCCTTATAAGAGAAATGTTCAATTATTCTGTCTACGTATCATATGCTGTAGAAGATAATAAAAAATAGAACAAAATTTAGCATTAATTAGATGGTTGCAACATCATCTATGGATCATATATGGATCTATCTTTTACCGAGTCTTGACCTACTATCATACTGTTATATTTGATCCAATTCCACATTCTCTTTGCTGATATTAATACATTTACTGATCTTGACTCAATATACATATACTTTCTCATTTCCTGAATTAGACAACCCTGTTTCTTGCACAAACTATTCTATTTGGCCATTTATTGCAACAAAATGGCCTAATTCAAGAATACATATAATTATACATTGTTCATTTGAAAAATAAGTACGTAGATATATATATCCTTGATCATAATTGTAATGAAATAAATTCATTTTCATATTGTATATTTTCTAAAATAAAACTCGGTTATTACTACGTAAACACCTGTTGTTCGAGACTCAATGAAGTTCGTCCGTTTGGTGGGGGAGAGAAACCGTTCTGGAAGCAAGCTGTGATTCTTTAACAGTAGTGGTACATACACAAGACGCCAAAGGTAAGGAAAGAGGAGGAAAAGAAGGAGGTATCATAGATGTCGACCCGAGGACCTACATTCGCCATCATTGCAAGAGATGCCTCGGATACCGTGGACACATTTACGCGCTCACATATATACCACTTATATATATGTATACACGTGTTTAATTCCTCCTAAGCTTACTAAATTCAAACACTAGCGTGCGTCTTCGTTTTCTTCAAAAGTAATCGTATCTTATATTAGTTATTACAAACTGAGAAAACAAATGGCAAATACATTATATTAGGAAACTCTATTCTTGTAGCAATCTTATAGCAAATTTTGTATTCCTGTAATTCCATGTGAATTATTATACAAATAGAATGCAGTTGCAGGACAACAAAATAATCTAGACCAGTGGTTTGCAAACCACTTTTTTGTCCTACCGCCCTCGTGAAAATTAATTTTTTCCTTTCCTTTCTTTTTTTCAAGTGAAAACATTTTTAGAATGGGAATGATTTAAAAAAAAAAAACAACTACGGTACTAAAAAAAGAAGAACAGACAAACGTATATACATCTATAGAATTTAGCCTAAGAGAGAATGAGATAGAAGACAGTATGCATTAGTTTCTTATTACAATGCACGAGTCTACGACAAGTTCAATCAATACGCGAATGTAAGAAAAAAATTTTTTCAATTTATGAAAATCAATGAACTACGAAGAAATTAGTCAATGCATGAGTCTACGGAAAGTTTAGTCAATGCTCGATTGCACGAAAAAAATTTTTTCGATTTATGAAAATCAATGAGCTACGAAGAAATTAGTCAATGCATGAGTCTACGAAAAGTTCAGTCAATGCTCATTGATAATAGCTAGTACCGCTAGATGCCAGCACATATATTTACCTACCGGTAAATGAAGTAATAGCTAGTACCGCTAGATGGCAGCACATATATTTATCTACTGGTAAATGAAGTAATAGCTAGTGTCGATAAATGGAAGCACATATTTCATCAGTCGATAAAATGAAGTAATAGCTAATACTGCTAGATGGCAGCACATATTTTATCAGTCGATAAGTATAATTTATGTTTGTTAAATGATTAAAAATAAATGCAACGTATATCACTTTTTATTTGATAAAAATAAATGTATCTTAACATTATTATAATATTTGCTTCTTCCTCAAACAAAATTATTATTTGTACCCCTAAACTTATTATTGTATAGATTATTTTTTCTCACTGCAACTGCATTCTATTCGCATAATAATTCACAGGGAATTTCTACAAAGAAGACATTAATTCATATAAATACATAAATTTTTTTTATCAATACCTACTGTTGCACATAGATACGTCCATAAAAACAACCGCCGTCAAACTGTCATGTTGCATGCGCATATAGTTGGAGAAAATCTTTGCACGCGTAGTCGACTGATGCGAAGGCTGGCTGGCGAATGACAGCCGTAACGTCGCATGCGCATGCGTGTTTGCAGCCGCCGTCGAGATGTAACGTCGCATGCGCAAGCGCACGGAAACTCCCCACGTGGGGGAAGATCTCTGTACGCGTGGTCGACTGCTGCTAAGGCCGCCACATGCCTGACGGCGAAAATTTGTACTCAACGAGGAGGGCAGCCACAGCGGCAGCACCTCTGTATTTCTTTTTACCTTGCGAGTTTTTTAATGCTAAATTACACATTGATTGTACAACCTATAATATACATATTCCTTGATTTAGATTTGTTTTTGACATATCTAATGTTATACGATATAATGGAATGAAAGTCCTTTAATACTCGTTTAATTCTGTATATTTCAGCTAACAATCCGAATTATCAAAAATGAGTTCAAAGGACAAGGATAATAAAACTTTACATGACAAATTGAAGCAATTCTTTCGTATTAATAAAGGTAAATTAAACTCGAATATTATTGTAAATATTAATTCTAAACAGGTTTTCTCTACAGTCATTTGTTTATTAAGAATTATTGATATTTTTAAAATACTTGTCAATTAATAAAATCATATTTAATTTCGTAATTTATCAATTATTAATAGATACATATTTTCTTTTTTTTTGATTAATTTACTTAAATAATATATACTTGTAATGTATTATTTTTTAGGAAATTATAAGAGTCGTGAAGATTTTACATTGTCACACGACATTGAAAAAGAAATTAGTCCTGACAGTCCAGTACATCATCGTACTAAAGTTATTAAAGATCTTTGTGATGCAGTACTTAATCAACAATGGGAAGATGTAAATTATTATTCTTCTTATTATTACATTTGCTTAGAATTATATTAGTTCAAGACTGTTTTACTTAGTGTTTACTTCTTCGTAAACACTAACAGAATCTGTACAAATTGACATATACTTTGGAATATTTCTTGAACTAGTGTATTTCCCAAAAAATTCCCCTGTAAACATTAAATATGTTGCCAAGAGTTTTGCTTACTCGAAACTTTCATAATCATATAAGTAATAAAAGCTAATTTGTTACATTGAAAATGTTATTAAGACATTATAAATTCTTTAATTATTATATTACCCTCTTTTCTTGACCACTCTATATATTTAAACAGTTAAGATTAATGGTACATGTATATATTATTACTTTCTATTAGAGAGCAGCTGAACGTTTATGGAATTTAGTTCAAGATCTACTAGGAAAGGATATACCACGCGAACACAGACATGTAACATTAAATTTTTTAAGATGTCTTGTACAAGGTCAATATTCTAAATTATCTGCTTTAATGCGAGTCAAATTTTTCATGGTTGTGAAAGATCATAATATTCCTGAAGATATTGGACCTAGGTAACAGAAATTTCTTCTATTATTCTTTTTTCTTTTTTTCTTTTTTTCTTTTTTGTAAGATTTAAATGAATTAATAATAAGTATATTAATGTATATTAGGTTAGAATTACTTCAAAGCTTAACAGAAAATGGAAAGGATATTTTACATTTGGAGGAAAGAATGGGCCCATTTTTATTAGAATGGCTACCAACGGTAACTAACGATGATGGTAATCGGGGTGCTGAATTTCTATCACTCTTAGTTAACATCATTAAATTTAATTCTGCTTACATCGACGAACATATTATATCGGGTCTTATTCAGTAAATATGATGATATTTCTATTAAAAGAATTGTCTCTCTATTTTCTCTAATATTTCATGCAAAATTTCTTCTTAAACTTGTACATTTTAGGTGTATTTGTCATCTATGTTATTACAGTAATAACACAGATGTAGTCTCAGGATGTTTAGAGGTTCTTGATGCAATAGTATGTTACAGTAATTTACAACCGGACTCATTACAGATGTTCATTATAGCGTTATGCAGAAGTGTCAATGTTGAAACGTATTGTCAGATAAGCTGGAAGGTACGTAGAGTGTGAATTAAAGATACATTTTTTTACTACGCAATTTACTAAGAAAAATGTTTCATTATTTACTAATATATACATATAGATAATGAGAAATTTATTGGGTACTCATATGGGACATTCTGCATTATATACAATGTGCCGTTTATTACAAGATACAAATTTTCAACGTGACGTACGGCTCCTCAGAGGTGCTGTTTTTTATGTCAATATGGGACTATGGGGTACACATAGAATTCCTAAATTAGTTTGTACGCCGACATCAGTTCTACCATCATTTCGTCAGGTAAATATGCCATAAATAAATAATAAATAATAAATAAATCTAATGATAAGAAAAAGTATTCAACCCGTAAAAATAACTCTCTTACTAAGGCTTTACAATGCAATCATCCAATTGTAATGTATGAAGTTACATTATCGATTCAAAGATTAGTAAATAAATGTGGTGCTGAACTTCATGAACCAACATGGAGCATTATTCTTGATATCATAGAAGATATAATCGTACATACTGGTAATTTATACATAATATTTTCATTTTCTTATAAATTTGGATTTACAAAAGAAAGACAAATTAAAACTGGATGTTATTATTTATTTTTGTTCAGAAACTAGTAATCAACCAGCCACCAAACAAGTATCGATAAGTTTGCACGAAACAATAAATAATATTGAAAATCTGCTTGATATTAATCATTATAACGGTTATGTAGAAAGATTTTATAATCTTGTAGAACGTTGCAGTAACGTACGCTCCGTAAGTAATCATTTTTTCTCCTAAGGAAGAATATTTCAAAGTAAAGCATCAAATAATATGCTTATTATTAATTATATTTTCTAGGAATCCTCGGTTTTAAAATTAATTGAATACAGAGCTTCGAGAATAAATCCTATGCACCATCATTGGCAATCTAGACTCTTATCATTAATGGAACTTTATTATAAAACAGATATGCGCACTAATATAAGAGTAAAAGCTCTTAATGTATTAGCTAATGTGATTCAAGTTAATAGGTATTATTAATGTTTATATTTACAGAATTTTGAATAGAGCAATGTATCTTGTATTTTTAGGCCGCAATACGAAGATGAATTAATAGAACGCACGGTTGTACCTTATTTGCAACACGTTGATATAGATCCAGATATTACAATTCGTAATGTAGCTGCATATCTTCTGGTGGACCTTTGTTTAGAGTGCGAGACAAAAAGATGTTTGGAATTTTTAGATATATTAGAAAAGGTCATTAAATGTTCATATAATAACTACAATTACGATACTAATAATTCACAATAATAATTATAAAAACATTAATATCTTTATTTATAGATAATTAATAGACCATTTACATCAGATACATTAATATCAACTGATGCTGATATAAAGGATATAAAAACAGCTGTCGTTGGTATAATAAAAATACTTACTTTTAAAATGTATCATTTGCCATCGAGTCATGCCATTTGTGCTTACAAAATTTTAGTAAATCATCTTGAACAGCATTATAAAGATCCTTCTATTTTTCATAATGTATCTACAATTAGATATCTGGTAAGTGAGACAGAAAAGCCATTTTTTCTTTTATTTCATAACTGTATGATGATATAATGTATTAATGTATTTTGTTTCATTTAGATTTTTGACTGCTTTTTAAAAATCAGATCAAACACTTTATATCATCTTGGTTTCTTGGACTCATCAAATGCTACAGTAATACGTTACAGTCCTTACTTAGTACTGGAACATCCCTCTTCAGAAAGAATTAGTAATGCTGGTGGTAGTATCAGTCCTCCACCTGTTAGTCCTGCGCCATTGCAGCATACTTCTTGTCAGATTACTCATATGTCTTTAACATATGCTTGTAAAGCTGTTATTTCTTGTATAAAACAAGAAAAAGGTTCGAATTTTAATTAATTCGTATGATTAAAATTAATCCTCATTATTTTATTCGTTAATCGTTAATCGCATTATATATTACAGATTGGAAAGTTTTACAACTTGTATTAAAAGAATTGCCACAAATTATGCAAAACAGAGCTTTGATATTATCGTGGCATACTAATGATATTGATTTATTTGCTACAGCATTATGTTCCATGGTAACATTTTAATATACAAATATCTATATATATATATATATGTATTTTTTTTTCTTAATAATTAATATACCTAATATTTGACAGGTTATTGATAAAAATTTAAAGCTACCAGAATATAATGCACCACCTAAATTTACTCTTTCTGAATTTCGAGTTTATGTCTTTCCGGTATTAGCATCTTTGACATCGTACCATGCCTACTTGGAACCTAATTTACAGCAAAGACTAATCAAATGTTTAGAGGTATTACACATAAATACATTGCATTATAATAAATAAATGAGAGTGCTCGTGCGTGTCCTTGTATTAAGTTATTAACATATAGAAACATTTGTTTGATTTGGAAAATAGATTGGTTTGACGACAAAATGTGCTAGTCAATGTGTTACTAGCCTTACGACTTGTACTTTAGAAATGCGTGGTGCTATGAATAAGCTTTTAACTGAAGTACTTTCAATCTTAACAAAAATCTCAGCTACAGTCCACATTGCTATTCCTATATTGGAATTTCTGTCTAGTGAGTATAAAATCTATCAAATGAAATCTTTAAATATTATATCCTTTTTTTCTATCAAAATAATATATAATTTAAAATTATGAAATAAATTAAAATTTTAGCTCTTACTAGATTACCAAAGGTTTTCGCCAGTTTTATTGGAGATCAACATATGTCTGTATTTGCTACACTATTGCCATATACTAATCCATATAAATATAATCATTATACAGTATCATTGGCTCATCATGTAATTGCTGTATGGTTTTTGAAATGTAGATTATCGTTTCGAAGAGATTTTGTTAAATTTATCATTACGGTATGTAATAGTCATTGAGACATATCTCGAAGCTTTCAATTATCATATATTATATTAATATAATTATATTTTTGTAAATAGGGTCTTAGAGCAAATGTAATAGTTCCTTTCGAAGAAGGACATTTAATGAAATCTGATTTTAGTTTAATTAATGAAGATTCTTCAAGTAGAAAGCGTAGTTCTAGTCTAACAGAGCAGGTATAAATATATAATAATTGATCTTTTCTATTTATTTTCTACCATATAACCATAAATATCATTATATAGGGCAGTAGAGGTAGAAGAGAAAGACCAATAATGACTAATCGTAGTATGATAGGAGAAAGTAGAGCCTTAGATTTGAAACCGCCAATCGATGAGACATTAAGGAGTTTTCATATTGAACTCACGGAAACTTGCATTGATCTTATGGCTCGATATACTTTCTCAACTTATTCCGCTCGTCCTAAAAGGTAATCGTATTCTGTATTATGATTTTCTTTGATGGCAATTAAATTACTTTTCTTTTTCTTTTTCCTCTCCAATTCTAGATTAGCAGCAACAGATTTTCTTCTTAAGGAAGGCCAATCTATGACGTGGCTTCTTGGTAATAGACTTATTAGTGTTACAACAAGTGGCTGCAGTAATAAAGCAATGCGTGGCGGTTTATGTGACAATTGCTGGGTAGCATGTAAATCCAGGCCTCAATCACCTGAACATATAAAGTCCTCCCAAACAAATTTACGCAGAATATCTAGTTTGGAGGTATATTAATATATACCTTATATTAAGATTATATTTCAGATTTTTCAATATGTCATATATTAAGTTAATAAATAATGCTTTTTTCAGATTGGGAAAGAAGAAAAATTGTCTAGGCAATCTTATATCGGACACGGAAATTCTAATGCAAATACTACTGCAAATTCTACTGCAAATTCTACTGCAAATTCTACTGCAAATTCTACTGCAAATACTACTGCAAATTCTACTGCAAATACTACTGCAAATTCTACTGCAAATACTACTGCAAATTGTCCAATCGAAGAATCGAAAAAATCAATAGACGATATGGATAATACAAAACGAGAAATTCTCATAGAAAAGAATAAAAAAGATCATAAAAAGCAATCAAAATTAGAACAAATACTTGAAATAAAAAAAGATGAAGAGCATGTACTTTGTGCTTGTTGGTGTCAAGGTTGGGCTGAAATATACGTGCGCAGACCTACGGGCGATATGTCTTGGATTATGAGAATTCAAAACTCTATGCAATTAGAAACTCCAATGGATTTTCCTGTAAATGACATTATGGCTCTTTATATGCCACTTCCAAGTGATGGTGTATCGAGTAGGCAACAAGAATCTACTGTAGATTACTCGGGAGATGAAGGAGAGGTATTTAATAAAAGAACATATGAAAAGAATCCTCAAATTTTGCAATATTAAATATTATTATGCATAATTAAATATTATTTTAGGATGGATTGGATAAAAATGATTTTCCACAAAGCGAGCAAAGTAGTATAATGAAATCAATGACTTCTTCGTCTGTGTCTTCAGGGCCAATTGCAATACCTGGTTCGCCTGCTCGTCCAAGTCCCTCACGTCAAAGTTCACAAGATAGTTTCGAAAGTTTAGAGGAAGGCGAGGATGGTATGTTTGATAAATAAATAATAATATGGGATGGTGAAAATGATTGAAAATAATCATTTAAAATGTATATATAATAGTAGATATCAGGAGGGCTCGAAATCCAGTACGTAGATCAAACTCAAGTCCAGAAATGAGTGCCAATTGGAAAAATCCATTTTTAAATAAAGAAAAGATTAATTTACAACAATTTGATAAAGATCTATCTGCTATGGATGTAGACATTAAATTAGAAGCAGAATTGAAAAAGCACGCAAAAACTAATTTTTCAAAAGACATGAGGTTGTATTTAACTTGATATTTTATTTTCTTTATTTCTTAATTAGTATTAAGAATTAGTCTCTATTATATTATTTAATTGTAGAGTAAGTTATGAAGCAATACCAGAAGAAATGTTTAGCATGGGTACTACACCACCATCGTCAGAAAATACCGCGGCAGATCATCCAAGTACCTTACGATCACAGCGTTCGTATCCTGGAGCAACACAAGCGACGCAAATAACTACTAATAGTAATACTGTACCGCCATCGCCAACTACTGCACAGGTATGTACGGATTACGAGCATAATACGAGCATAATACGAACATAATACGAACATAATACGAACGTTACGAAAATAATTTGTCAAATAATTTAGGCACCTGGAAATTTCTTGACAACGCAAGTTCGTACCACGCAAATGCAATCAACAGGAACGAAACCTCCGCAATCGCCAACACAGATTTATCCTCGTTTGGTTAATTATGACACTAATCAAAAACAAATACCGATAGCTAGTGAAAATAAACCTCCTATTGGTAAAAATCTACTTGTCGATAAGGTATATTCATTGTAATGCATTATATAAACTATTATTTTAATTATAATAATTAATTTGCTTTATTTTCTTTTATTAGAAAGATGAAAGGCCGGATCCGTCTGCATTACCACCTTTACCAATACCTTTCCGCGATAGAGGACATACCATCTCTGTAATGAGTCCAGTTACAAAATCCCGTAATGAATGGAATAGCGCTCGACGAGGTAATTCACCACGTATTAAGGAATCCCCTCGGACCGGTATTAACCCTAGGTAGTGTATAGAATATTCATTTTATAAGTATAAGAAATATTCATTTTAATATCAATTTTCTATAACTATACTAACGTATCAAATATGTATATTACAGTTTTGTATTTTTACAATTATATCACACTGCACATTTTGGTCCTACAACAGAAAAACCATTATTAGTTCCTCAAACAACTGCTATACAAAGAGCAGTGACAAATTTAGATAGAATACAGCCATATGAAACCCATAAAATTGGAGTATTATATGTTGGTCCAGGACAAGTTTCCAATGAGGTTGAAATATTAGCAAATCAGCATGGTTCTGATCGATACATGAAATTTTTAAAAGATTTAGGAACTTTAATCCGATTGAAAGATGTAGATGAAAGTGTATTTTTAGGAGGATTAGATCGCAATGGCGAAAATGGAAATTTTGCATATATATGGCAAGATGATGTTACACAAGTTTGTACTCTACCTTTATTAATCATTTATGTTTCATTTCATTTCAAATGTTAAAACAGTTATTTTATTTGTTCATTTTAGGTTGCATTTCATGTAGCTACATTAATGCCAACAAAACAAAGCGATCCAAAATGTACTTCTAAAAAACAACATATTGGAAATGATTATGTAACTGTTGTTTATAATGAATCAGGAGAATCGTACAATATTCAAACTGTCAAGGTTAATAATTAAAATACACTGTAATAGTCTAATTAACTTATCTTATATAATGAATATTTAATAATAATTACATTACGATTATGAAATTTGTATTTCAGGGGCAATTCAATTATGCTTGCGTTGTAATCCAACCTTTAGATCATGGCACTAATCAAGTAACGGTACAAGCAAGAGAAGAACTTGCAGAGCATATTGGTCATAGTGAACCAAAAATCATTTCCGATGAAAACCTAGCTATACTCGCACGTCAGCTTGCTTTGCATGCAAATGTACATTTTTCTATATAACGAAATAGCAACAGTTTAATTTAATATCTTTAGTTTAATTATAATTATTGTTATTATTTGCAGCTAGCCTCTATGGTTTCTTCTTCCATAAAACAAAATAGTCATAATCCATATGCTTCCAATTGGTTGGAACGTTTGAGACATATAAAAAGACTTAGAAGCAGAGTTCTACAAGAATCCGTAAATAATAATTCTGAAGGTAATTCAGATGATTTATCACCAAGATCGAGTAAACGAGTCTATATGGATGACTTTACCGAATATACAACATAAATTTATTTAAAAAATCATGTTATATACAAAAGTTAAGTCATTAAAAAAAGAAATATATATATATATGTGTGTATATGTATGTATATATACATAATATTTATCATAATTGTTTTTTTACGATCATCTTATTTCTAATACTCAAATATTGTTTGTCAAAATTGACATTCTTTACATTTCTAAAATTAAATAATTAAACTATAATCATTGTTTATTCTCATTTAATTAATTTCTTAAAGGTATGTATATTTAAAATTATATATTCCTGATACATTAATAATAACAATTATAAAAATCTAACATAAAAACATAACACATTCGAGTTGTATATGCATTGTTTCAATGATATTTAAACAGAGATATTTTTAAGTATTATAGATATTGGTTTAAACAAATCAATTATATAAAAAAAAAAAAAAAAGTATATAATTATTTGATATTAGATAAATTTATGTACCTCTGTAAATAGGCACTCGTTTTGCTGTAAATGCTGAAAGACCCTCTAGTCTATCTTCAGTATCTATGACTTTATTGTAACATGCTTTTTCGATTTCTAATCCATCTTTTATAGGCACTTCCATACCTTTTGATATAGCCTCTTTAGCCAGCCTAGAAGATAAAATTACTCAGAAGATAGAATTAATATGAAAAATAAATAATGTATAATACTTACTTTACTCCAATAGGACCATTAGGCAAAATTTCCCTTGCAAGTAATAAAGCAGCTTGATAAGCTGCATCACCATTTTTATTCTGTGATACAGCTTCATTTATAAGATTAATATTCTTTGCTTGTTGTCCATTTAAAATGCGTGCTGCATAAATAAGTTCTTTGGCTATAGCAGATCCGACTATTCTTGGTAATCTCTGAGTACCACCGGCGCCTGGTATTATTGCTAATTTAGTTTCTACAAGACCAAGTTTTGCCTCCAAAGCTGCTATTCTAATATCTGTAGCCAATGCTAGTTCTAAACCACCACCCAATGCTATACCATCTATGGCAGATATAACTGGTATTGGTATAGATTCTATGTCGTTCATAACATTTCTTAAAGATGTTACAAATTCTGATACTTCAGATTTATTCATTTTTAACCTTTCACGTAAATCAGCACCAGAACAGAAAACAAATGGTACTAAGCTACGAATAATTAGTACACGTAATTTATCATCTTGCTTAATCGTTGAAATTGCATGATTTAATTGAGAAAGAAGATTTTTTCCAAAAGCATTACGGGTTTTTGGACGATTTAGCCCTAGTACTGCTATACCGTTATCTTTCCCATCAAGATATTTTACAATCACTTCTTTCATATCGGTTTCCAAATGCACTAGTGTATTGCTAGAAAATGACTGTGTCACAATTCTATTGCCATTGTGAAAAAGTGAAGCAAATGGAATATTTTTGATCAAAGAAACCATCATTTGAAATATTATACAAAATATTATTTATTATAGGTAATATAACCTGAAACAAAAAATTGTAATGATTATCAATCATAATTTCATTATTACTATGTAATATAATTTTATTGTCTATACGTTTTATTTTAATTATTTTTTTATGAATATAGATAATTATTAAAGAAATAACATAAATAGAATATAAAAATATATTACATACACTTAATGTTTTCCAAGTACAAAATGAAATGTAATGTTGACTACATTTGAACTTTGAACATTTCACTATTACTGATAGGAAGATTCATTATGCAAAGTGGTGATAGGCAGTTAAAAAAAAAAAAAAAACGAAAGAAAGTTTAAATAGGCTATTCTATAACCTTGTCTAATTATCTAACTGTTGCTAAATAATACGAAATCATGCATACAAATTTTGTACTTTTATTTATATATCGTCCGTCGTATTTCTTTTCAATTGGTTATAGTTTCAAATAAGATATTATAATCAAAAATTGTTTCATCGTCATGTCTCATTAATAAATACAATAGTGTCGATAGTAAAATTTGACATAAATTTGAAAAAATATTGAATGTATTGAACGTAGTACAAAATAATTGAATGTACTTATAAATTTGTTATTTTATTAATGTACATAATTGAATTAATATTATAATTATCCACGTCCTCTTCCAGCTGGAGACCCTCCTGGTTGATTTTGTTGATTCAACCAAGGTGCCGAACCTGTACCTCTTCCTCTTTGGTTTTGTCCACGACCCCTTCCACGAGCTAAACACAAATAATTCAATATTAACAAAATACTTATACGTGCGTATTTCAAATATATTATTGACACAATTGGTTTTTACAATGAAATCATACTATGCATTACTATGCATACCTTGAGCACGTAAAATAGCGGATTTTCCTCTGCCCGCGGTACCAGAACCTTTACCGCCTGGCCTTTTAAACATCGGAGCATTTTTCAACATGTCTGGTAATATTAAAAATCTTATTTTAGATCCACGAATATATACATTTTCTAATTGAGCAACTTGTTTATCTCTATATGTCACTGTTATATTTTGCATTTGGCAATTCATATTGTCTTCGGCTTCTATTAATTTGCCGCGATATACTTCGCCGGTATTCGTTTCACATGTTATTATATGCCCTTCTGCTTCGTGAAGTACTTTAATAGGCACTCCGATTGACATGATCCTCTCTTTCTTTCAAATATATTTCAAATATGTATATATATTGGTTAAGAAGGTAGTAAACAAAACACGAATATTATATCAAAGTACTTACTTGGTTATATTATTTTATGTACATTTATCATAGATAGTAATTCTTAAAACATATTCGAGGCCTTTAAAATGGCGATGGTGTTTTTATAGATGGCGCTCCTGTTTTTATAGCGGCACTTACTATTGGATAAAAGATCATAAAAATGAACCAATAGCAATGCAAATTAGATGAAACATTTCTAGAGAAAAAAATGTACAAATATTATATCTGTAAATATATAATTAAAATTGTCAATTTTTTCAAATTTATATTGATCTTCTTGTTTATTATTTCTATTATGAAACACTGTACATTTATTGACTTTTTTTTTTCTATTTTTAGTGACCAAACGTAATATCACAACTGCCTATCTATGTTATCGTATACTCATTATTAGTAAAAATATGGTTTACCATACTTCCGTAGTATAATACAGCAAAACTGTCAAAGAAACGTAATGCATTACAAATTGTATATTGCATGATATCAAAAAATTGTGATTTAGACGTTTGTTAATAGCATTGAATTGTTTTAAGAAAATGGTAAGTTAATAATATGAAATATATTGAATATATTGATCATAATGTTATGGAGCTAATGTAATCTTGATTAGAAAAACAATCTGGAAACAATATAAATTTCTATTTGCAATATTTGCTTTTACATTATCTTACATTTTCATTTTTACGTACATACGAAGAAATGCATTATTGTCTGTCATCGTTGAAGATATATTGCGTTAAACATTCGTGTCATTAGATTATAAATCTTATTGTCAATAAGTCTATATACATTACATTTTTGATAATATTTTTTATAATCATTTTGGTCTATTCTTACGTTTACTTTTCTATTTTCTTTTGAAGTTAAATGTTTCTGAAAAATTTCTTACCGATCAAAACTCTTTTTCTACGTGTCATCTATCTATTATTTCTAATCGAAATTAGAATAAATAGAAATCATTTTTGGCTCTAGAAGATATGTATTCTCGTTTAGTGAACCTCCTTTCTTGTATCCTAACCTAATTATCTTCAGAAAAAGGATTATCTTATGGTATTATGTAAATGACATTTTTCTGTTACAAATCGTATTATAAATGGTCAAGTGTTTCATTTGCATCTTCTATTAATGAATCTTTGATAGGTTCTGGATGGATATAAATGAATTTTTTCTTAAAGTATTACATATATCACATTTATGATATCAAATTCTAGAAATGTATTTCTTTCCTTGCATTTCCTTAGAAAATTGATCTCATAATAACTTTCATCATAAAAAATAACAGATTATCACAATGCCATGGAGAAATTTCCACTGAAGGGCACTTCATCTTTAAATTCTCCTGTCTCTCACATAAATGCAAGTACTATCACGACATATCGTTCGGTTGATGCAAAGGTATATTAAATTTTTATTTCCGTATCTTCCTTATTTGATATCAATATTATTTATATTATTATTTGTATATTATTTATGGAATTTGTATATCATTTTATGGAACATGTTATAATTATAACATTATGAAGTTTATATACATGATATTTTTCTATATTTCTAGGTCATAAATAGTAATAATAGTGGTAACATAGATGAGGCACGCTTACAAAGCGGAGCTTTAGGTCGTGAAACAAATTTGAGCAGTGACGAAGACATGTTAGATGTTAATCATCATTCCACATCTCATGATTTAGATAATAATGTTTTATCTGAGCATTGTATTCGTGTTGATGATTCATCTTCGCATAGTGAGTTATTTATACAATAATGGACAATATGTTAATACTTGAATTTTCATTTGCATTCAAATTTAGAAATACAATAGATTTGAAATAAGGTTACACATTAAATGTTGCAAGATATTTATATAACATGTTGATCAATTTTATTAGTTTCAGTTGATTCCGATGACATACCTGGAATTGGTCAATATGAGGACTTCCATACTATCGATTGGCAAAGAGATATTGCACGAGATCGAATGCGACATCGGTATATTATTAAAAAGAAACATGATTCTATTTGGGGTTTAATCAAAGGGGCTCATGACGCTTGGTCTGGATGGCTGTGCGTTTTATTTGTTGGTTTATTTACGGGGGTTGCTGCTGGCGTCATAGATATTGGAGCATCTTGGATGACGGATCTTAAATTTGGAATATGTCCGCAAGCTTTTTGGTTAAATAAAGAGCAATGTTGTTGGAGTTACAATGAAACAACTTTTGATGGTGGGAATTGTTCTCAGGTTAAGATTTTCAGATATATATATATGTATGTATATATATATATATATATAGATAATTGATTCAACCATACCTCTTATTATGGTCTTGATTTATCTCAATTAAGTATTTCCGTCTCTCTTTCTCTCTCTCTCTCTTACTCTTATTTTATTACCCTTGCAGTGGTGGACATGGCCGGAAGTATTCAACCAATCAAAGGATGGTGCAGGCCCGTATACAATATCATATATGTTTTATATAGCATGGGCTCTTTTATTTGCATCGCTTTCTGCATCTTTGGTACGAATGTTTGCACCATATGCTTGTGGCTCTGGTATACCAGAGGTGCGTATGAACATTTAATTAAAGATTTTTCCTTATACCTAATAATAATTATAATTGCAAGTACTTTTATTTTAGATTAAAACGATATTAAGCGGTTTTATTATCAGAGGATACTTAGGAAAATGGACATTAATTATTAAATCTGTTGGTTTAATTCTTTCTGTATCAGCGGGCTTAAGCTTGGGTAAAGAAGGTCCAATGGTACACATTGCTTGTTGTATAGGCAATATATTTTCATATTTATTCCCAAAATATGGAAGGAATGAAGCTAAAAAGAGAGAAATTTTATCGGCCGCTGCTGCAGCTGGCGTATCGGTTGCTTTTGGAGCTCCAATTGGAGGTGTCTTATTTAGTTTGGAAGAGGTATGATTTAATAATATAAATAGTATGATCAAATATGCACTATATTTATATATCTTCTTTTCTCATTATTATAATGTTTCATTGAAGCTGCAAGATTATTTTTTATTCAAGAATAAATAAATCCAACAATTATATATGGTGAATATTTGGTAGAAAGATTAGAGATCGACATGAAATTCATTTTAATTGGAACATAGTGATACCCGATATAAAGTATTATCAATTTTTGTTGAATTCTGATAAATAACAATATGCTTCTATCCTATAATGTTTCAGAACAGTTGCATTTCTGTTGAAGAATAATCATGAAATTCTACTATGAAAGTCATGTATATATCAACGTTTAAAAAGCATAATGGAAAATTATGAGAATATTTGATTAAAATTTGATTACCAATAATGTTTCTCTTTCATGTGTATGTACTAATTTAATATTTACTCGTATATCTGTAATTGTACAGGTCAGTTATTACTTCCCTTTGAAGACCTTATGGAGATCTTTCTTCTGTGCATTAATAGCAGCTTTTGTTTTACGTTCTATAAATCCATTTGGAAATGAACATTCAGTACTATTTTATGTAGAATATAACAAACCTTGGATATTTTTTGAATTAATACCTTTTGTTATGCTCGGTATAATGGGAGTAAGTACATTTTACAATGATTTGATAGTTTTATAATACAATATTATTGGAGAAATATTTATTTATTGTTTTATTATTGTTTTAGGGTATAATTGGTACACTATTTATCAAAGCAAATCTCTTTTGGTGTCGATATCGTAAAACTTCGAAATTGGGTCAGTATCCTGTTACCGAAGTTTTGATTGTAACAGTAGTAACAGCTGTAATTGGATATCCAAATCCATACACAAGAATGAATACGAGTCAACTTATTTACTTACTATTTAGTCAGTGCGGAGTGTCTAATGCTGATATTTTATGGTGATTATTACGACATATATTACGTATATTACGTATATTACGTATATTACGTATATTAATAATAACGTGATATAAAAGTAATGATATATTTTGTATATTACAGCGATTATAATAGAAATTTCACAGCTGTAAAGTCCGCAATAGAAATTGCAGCAGCTGGTCCTGGAGTGTACAAAGCCATGTGGTTACTTATACTTGCACTTATTTTAAAATTAATTATGACCATATTTACATTTGGTATGAAAGTACCTTGTGGTTTATTTATTCCTTCTCTTTGTTTGGGTGCTATTATGGGTCGAATAGTTGGAATAGGAATGGAACAACTTGCTTATTATTATCCTCATATTTGGATGTTTAGCGAAGAGTGTTCCACAGGAGTTGATTGTATAACTCCTGGATTATACGCAATGGTAGGAGCTGCTGCTGTACTCGGTGGTGTTACTAGAATGACTGTTTCTTTAGTCGTTATCATGTTTGAATTAACTGGTGGTGTTCGATACATTGTTCCGTTAATGGCAGCTGCCATGGCTAGTAAATGGGTGGGCGATGCTCTTGGGAAACAAGGTATTTATGATGCCCATATAGGTTTAAATGGATATCCATTTTTGGATAGCAAAGACGAATTTCAGCATACAACATTAGCCGCTGATGTTATGCAGCCTAAGTAAGTCAAATAAACAATTAATTTTTATTTATTCTTATTGCTACTTATTATTATTTTTATTATTCCTATTATAAAATGATATTTGATATTTTAGACGTAATGAAGCTCTGCACGTTCTTACACAAGATTCAATGACAGTTGAAGATGTAGAAAATTTACTGAAAGAAACTGAACACAATGGTTTTCCAGTTATCGTTTCTAAAGAATCTCAGTATTTAGTTGGTTTTGTTTTACGGCGAGATCTTAATCTTGCTATAGCAAATGCCAAACGCATGATAGAAGAAATTACTGGCCAATCTCTAGTTATCTTCTCTAATGGAAATAATATTCAAGCCCATTCGCCACCTCCGCTAAAACTGAAAAAAATATTAGATATGGCACCGATTACTATTACAGATCAAACTCCAATGGAGACTGTAGTTGATATGTTTAGGAAATTAGGATTACGTCAGACTCTTGTCACTCACAATGGGTAAAAACAGAAATGACATTTTTACATGGTTTGAAAAACAAAGAGAAAATTACTTACTGTAATACTATTACTAATAATATCATTTTTGTTACAGACGATTATTAGGGGTAATCACAAAAAAAGATGTTTTGAGACATGTCAAGCAACTTGATAACGAAGACCCTAACTCTGTTTTATTTAATTAAATTATGATTATTAATTATTGATTAAGAAAATCAATACAAAGCTTGATATTATATACTAATTCCAAGCTTGAACAAGAAACAGAATTGATCAAGTTAAATAATTAGTATTTGTGAACAACACTATTCAACACAATTCTTGAATAATTCAAAGTGATATAAATCAAGTTTTATTCATTTTCTTAGAAAGAGATATTAGGATTTAATTTTGGATAATGACAAATGAGGATTTAAGTGGAATTATAAACATCACATGATACAGTATAAGTAATTATCCGATATTATTCTTTGTTTTATTTGTTACAGATGTAATTCATTAAAATCTATGGAAATGTAATAAGAAGTTTTTAAATTATATTTTATTTCATTTTTTCAAGCATTATTATTATATATATCGTATATTGAAGTTACATCACTAACGTATAAAATACATGTTTATTATAAACATTGCCCAATTTTAGTGGGTATTCTATACAACAATACCCAAAATATATGTGTTACCGAGAAAAACCGAAATTGAAGAATGTCAAATGTTCACATGGTTGATCGTATGGTCAACACATACCAAACTTTAATAATAACATAATTACATACATTTCTTTTTTCTCTCTCTCTCTCTCTCTTTCTTTTCATCTTTATCTATACAATTTGTGATTTCTTTATTCTTTCTTCATTTGAAATATCTTTTTTCTTTGCAATTTCTTCTACACAACTAACTTGTTTTGTAAAAATAGTATACTTTATGTATAAAATGTAATTTTAATGATTGTAAACATTTCAAAAACTATTTGTACATAAGATTATAAATGAATACCTTTTATAGAAGTATCATAAAATAAGAAATGTATCCTTAAAAATAAGAAATTATTCTTTAAAATTCTTAATCGTTTCTACAACAGCTGTTATCCAAGTAGCGGCAGCATATGCTCCTGGATCTACTCGTTGCATATAATATTCTTGTTTGACGTAAGCTGCTCGTCCTGCTCTGTATAAGTACAACATTATACGTAATATAATATGTTGTGCATTTCTGGGTATATAGTAGAAAAATGTTAATTATTATAAAATTATCTCTCTTCTTACCTAGCTTTTTTATCTTTAGTCGCATTACATCCTTCCCACGTTGCAATAAGTACATTTTCAATAATATCAGCTAAAGGTGCTGTTATACATTTTTCTAATGTTTCACACGCAGGATCTAACACATCTAACTGTATTATACACAAATATACATATATATGTATCAATAATTTTCATTATTTCCTTGTGAAATATGAATCATGTTGATATGTAAATAATTAATGAAACATTACTGTACCATTGTTCTGTCACCAGGCTTTGCTTTTCCATACTTAATTATGGAATCTAATGCACTCCGAAATGTATAAGACCACACCCAGGTAATATTTGTATTTTTTTCAATGAGTGATAATTCTTTTGCTCCAGTTGTAAAAAATAAACAATACAATGCACCAGACGATCCTCCCATTGTTTCTTCTGCAATATCAGCTATTTTTTGTAATAATAATGAAGGATAAGCAAAAGAAAAATTTGCCATATTTTCTTGAATGCCTAAAATAAATCTACATGTAATCTAAATGTGTATATACACTGTTAAATTTAGTGCTACTGCACACTGTTATCTTCTTTTTATAGAAACAATTGTTACCCATGGCAAATCTTTTGAGCGTAGTACCACAATCTCCATCTCCGCAACTACGATCTAATTCATTAAGATATTCCTCTATTTCGATGATACTTTTACATGCTTTTTGCAGACATAATGTCATTAAGGATACATATCGATGATTTAAATGAATGCCAAGTTTATCTAATTTCTCTTTTTCTATTTCATTAAATGGTGGTCGTGTTATAGCCAAAGGAACACTGTAAGAACGACCTGGCCATCCTGGAGCATTCGTTGAGTCATCGAGACATCTTAGAAATATATCTTTATAATATTCAGGAAGTTTTAATATCGTAATATGTATTCCAGCACTATTTAAAGATGTTACTAAAAGTCCCGAATAAACTCGAAGTGATTGTATACCTTTATTATCTGTAATAATATTATTTTATTTATACGTTACTAAATTTGATGAAATACTTTATTTATGCGCAGGATAAACATCCATCAAATGAATCGGTCGTATATATACGTATATATACTCACTAAGTTGTTTTATAGTTTCATGTGTAACAATGCCTTGTTCTAACTGGCTCAATGCTCCAAAATTATTTATTACTACCACAACATTATTGCCACTAATTAAATTTAATTCTTCAGAAATATGTTGCAACATAAATGCAACGATTTCAGATGCACTTTTTATTTTCATTCGTTCGTAGCCAGCTTCTCCGTGAATACCCATACCAATTTCTATTTCATCCGATGCCAGTTCAAACATATATTCTTGACCTATGCATATATATGACCTATGTATATACTTCTTCTTGTTATATATTTATTTATTTATTCTATATTTTATATCATGTAAATTGTCAAACATCAAACCTGGTATAGAACATGCTGATAATCCAACAGCATAAGTAGCCATATTTTCCACACTAAGTTTTGCATATTTTAATATTTTTGAAAGAGATTCTCCTCTTTCAGCAAGCGCCCCAGCTATTTTAATAACCAATATCATTCCAGTTAAACCCCGTTTACCTATAGAACTTTGTTCTTTTTTAGGAATACTGCAATCTTCATTGACCATTATCTCTGTAATCTGTAAATATTGTGATGATTGTGTGATGATTATATTATATCATTGTGCATCAAATTTTCCTTGTTATCATAAACATACATACATTAATACCCATTTGTTTTGCTTTCTCAAGTGCTATTCCAAAGTTAAGACAGTCTCCGGTATAATTTGGAACTATTACTAATATACCAGCTATAAAATATGAAAAAAAAAGACAATAAGCGACAATAAAGTATTTCTTTTCAATTGAAAAAAAAAAAAAAACTAAATAATAAAATTAAATACCTGTATTGTTTTGTGCGACACAGTTAATGGCATGTGTTATATGTTTAGAAGGTGGTGATGCAAATATAGAACCAGATATAGAAGCTGTCAGCATACCAGTACCAACAAAACCTATATAAGGTAAATAGAATCGAAAAATAATTATTTACCAAATTCTACTGCGAATATTTATAAATACCTGCTACAAATGGTTCATGACCACTACCACCTCCACATATTACAGCAACTTTGTCCTTTTGATTTCTAATCTAAAGTGAACAAAATTGAAGAAAATATTATTATATAACTTAAACAATAAATGATTACATTACAAATTACATACGTACATCAGGAGATAGAACAATTTTATGATCTAATTGTAATTCCAATTGCGGATAAGTGCAACATAATCCTGACAAAGATTCTGCAACGGCATCGTCGATTTTATTTACCAAATGTTTCAAAGCAGCCATTGGAAAGACTATCAATCGTGTTCTACGGTTGAATAAGACTAACCAAACGTAACTGACTTTTACGTTCTTTTAAAATGAACGTTCAATTAAAGTTCATTAGGTTATCAAGCGTCTCTTTTGATGGACATATATACATATACAGATTCATAATATAAATACAGAATATACATAAATAAAATTACTTTAATACTCCTTATTGGTCTGAACATTTTAATGATGCAAATATAATATTTAATACAAGGCAAATTGTATACAATTTTAATTATACATATAATTGAGTAATATTTATATAATATACAAATATTACCGAAATTCTTCTTGCGTATAAAATAAATAAACAGTTTTGCTAAGAGCCGGTCCAATTTGTCGTTTTTGTAATCCATATTGTATATTAGCTATTAACGTTTGTCCGCAGTCAGATGTATGCAAAGCATTAATTAATATGAGTGGTGTAGGATAATATTCGACAATTGCTAATGCTTTTTCTACTGACATACCTTTCAACTGCAATAATTGACGAACAAACATTTGACGTACATTAAAATTCTGTAAAAAAAAAAAAAAACAAATGAAAATAATAAAACATTTCTACATGTGTATAATTATTGTATACATACTTTCAATTTAGATGCAGCTTTATTGAATTCTTCAAAATTCATTAGTAAAACGGTATCACTGGCAAAGTCTGTTGGTAGAAGATTTTCTTTTTTATGTTCTATCAAATTCTTCTTCTAAAATATATTCAATATAAATAAGTATAAGTTAGCATAAATAAATAATATATATATATATATATCTAAAAGTAATATATACATACAGCATAAATTTTACGTAGAATATTAGTTAAAATTGCCAAATATGACATTGAATCTTGATGGCTATCCGTATACTTGACAATAAAATCATCTTGTACCAATGAATTAACAGCTGCTTGCAATAAAGTTGAAAGCGGAATTCCAGTTCGTATAATCTTATGGTGATCTTCTATTATATAGAAAATATTTTCTATTCCAGATTGTTTTAAACGAAACTATAAAGTTTCAGAAAAGAAAAAATATCTATTATATTATCAAGAAAAATGAAAAGATCAACATTATGTGTTTATTTAAAAAAAAAAAAACTAATTTATACCTTTTGTTCATGAAACCGTCCATCTTTAATACTTGCACTTAGATCATCTAATCGTTTCCTTTCCACTATATATGGTAAAACTAATTCCTTATTAGTATATTTGCATTTAGTAATCCAGGTAAAGTCACCAATTTTTAAATGACGTACTTCAAATAATACTCGTAATTCTTTTAATTCAGCCAATGTTGCATCATGTTCAGGTTTTATTTTTCCACTATAAACAAATTTATATATAATATAAATATACAAATATAAATTTATATATAGTATAAATATAAAAATTAAATGTAAGCTCACTTACCCACTAGTCTCCTTAATGTCTACTAATAAAACTATATCAAAAGAATTCGGTTTTAATCGTATTTCATCACGATTGCATATAATATCTACTATATTTGATGCTGGTTTAACTGCACTTTCTTCATCGTATGTTTGTAAATGATTAAATAAAGGAGACTTTTCTTTATTTTCCTCAATTTCAATGACATCATTTTCATTATTCAATATAGAAGCTACAGCTTGCAGCTTTTTATAATAACATTTGATTAAGTGTTTATCATAATTTTTCAAATTAAAAATTTCTTTTATCTTGCTAGCTACTTGTAATCCTTGTTTAGTCAAATGATACCTTTAGAAAGAAAGAAAAAATAGATTATTTTGGAAGTTATTTATTGTATTAGAGTTTATTAATCATACCTAATAGGAAACTGTTTTACTTTTATTAATCTGTTAGCAATTAATGCTGAAATAGATGATTTTCCATCACATATATCTGGATCCAAAGATTTTAGTGATGTATTGTATAATTGTTTAAATTCATACAACAAATCTAATTTAAAAATTTGTTCCGATGAGTATATAATTGAATTCTACTATTTAATACAGCATAAATAAACTTACCTGAATAACTCGAGTTCCCTTTTTTATCGTATAACGTCAATAATATTGCATAACAAGTCAAATTCCATGACGAAAAAGAAGATCTAATAAACGTTGTTTTTGTCTTCTATTACAAAGAAAAATTTACAAATAACAGTGAATCTTGGTGTGTTATCAAAGTGTTTATCAAAATTGTGCAACTTACTTGCCTCATTTCACGTTTGTTGATTTCTTTTTTATAAATTTCTAGACGTTTCTCTCTTGATAAAAGAATAAATTGATTACAACAACAACAACTATCGCACTTGCAAACATTATGCGTACGTTTTATTTCTTTCCTATGTGCTCTATGTTCTTCGAGTCTTCTATCTAGCATCTTACATAATTTTAAACCAAAATGTTTTAAAATAATACAATCTTTTCCAGACTCTAACGGTAAAGGATATTTTCTTAAAGTATTCAAAGCTTTAGCAAAATGATATTGCAGATCAGATTTTTGGGAAATCGCTTTATTTTTCCACTCTTCCAGCCAAAGCTCAAATAATGGATTAGGTTTATTTAATGTAACATTAATCCTTTTCATTTTTTTTTTTTTTTTTTAATTATATATTAAAATAATTCTATCAATTGAATATTTCTTGTTAAATTATCAAATGCACTTTACACGCGCCAATTTGCATTCGATTAATTTGAATCCGACATTAACTATCTGTAATGAGAAAGAAGGGAAACTGTAGGAAACTGTTTGTTGTGCTGCCCTCTGATGTTACTAGCAGGAGAATGAATGGATCAATGAATGGATCAATGAATGGTTAACAATAGGACATGAGTATATGATGCGTATTGCACTTGGCAACACTTTGCTAGTAAGATGCATGACGAGGCGCCATAAGTTGTTTTTCTAAACTCACTGACATTGATTTCCTTTGTGTTCATGTCGGCACGTGTCACGTCGGCTTCGCTGATTGGTTGAGCCATTTTTTTATTCTTGTCACTTTTATTTTTAGGATGCGACTTGTTTTTCTTTGGTGTACACGTACAGACTAATAAAGACTACTTTTTGTTAGCGTGGTTCCCTAGCCTTCTAGTAACTTTTAGAGGGCGCCACCTTCGGTAGAAGCGCTACAGTTTTCTTCTTTCTCGATATAGAAAGCTAATGTAGGATTCAAATTAATATCTGTATACTTGACAATAAAATCATCTTGTAGCAATTAATTAACAGCTGCTTGCAATAAAGTTGAAAGCGGAATTCCAGTTCGTATTTAATACGCATTTATAGAAACAATTGTCGATATGGAAAATATACCGGGAAGTGAGGTTAGTATCGTCATTTGACTACGTTCATATATATTTTGAACATTAAAAAGAAAAAAACAATAATCATATAGATCTAATTTGATAATAATAATAATAATAATAATAATAATAATAATAATTTTGTTTACAATAGAATCAAGGAACGCAATATAAGATTGATATTCAACAGATGTCCCATCCATCTATGATGGGTATGAGTTCTAATCATCATACTTCAAATATGATGGAACCACCAAAACCGTTACCTAGTTTATTAAGCTTGAAAGTAACACCGCCAACGGAATTACAACATCAAAGTGATATAGAGGATACAGTAAGAGAGGGAGATAATGAGACAGTTAAACTTCCAGCTGCCTTGGAACAAGCTTTAGCTTTTAAAACGGAAAGGGCTAAGGAAGTAGGTGGTGATCCAAATGATATAGTCTCTTTGGGAAAATCTACCAATGACGAATCTACCGGAGAAGATGGTCCTCCTCACTTGGAGGATATATTGGAAGCAGAAACAACTATTGACAAAGTCGATTCAAAGGCAACTAAGAGTAAAAAGAAAAAAAAGAAGAAGAGGAAGAAGAATACTAACGAGAAAAAAGAGTTAGAGAGGAAGCAAGAGCAAATAGAAGATAATAAATTAAAAGAAGATCAACCAGAAATAGAATATATTCAAGAAATTCCCAGTATAAACGATTTGGAGCCGATGTATCGTCAATTTGCTCGAGTTTTTGAAGCATTTAAATTAACCGAACCAGAAGCTCGTCCTAACGATACTGCCGATAAGGGCGAACCAATTGGTCAATATCCGCCTGTTAGCAGTATGCAAGCAACGGGCCAAATACCAAGCAAAATACCACCTTTGGATGATTTTGATGACGAAGTAGGCCAGCAACAGCAACAACAAGGAACCGGAGAAAATGGTGCTCCACGCTTATCTAAAAGAAAATTAAAAAGATTGACGCGACTGAGTGTAGCAGAATTAAAACAGCTGGTAGGTAGGCCTGATGTTGTAGAAATGCATGACGTTACTGCCAGAGATCCAAAACTTCTCGTACAACTTAAAGCACATCGTAATACCGTACCTGTGCCTAGACATTGGTGTTTTAAAAGAAAATATCTACAAGGAAAACGAGGTATTGAAAAGCCACCTTTTGATTTACCTGATTTTATAAAACGCACTGGAATAACAGAAATGAGAGCAAGTTTGCAAGAGCGCGACGACACTCGTACTTTAAAAGCAAAAATGCGCGAGAGAGCAAGACCCAAATTAGGTAAAATTGATATAGATTATCAAAAACTTCATGACGCATTTTTTAAGTGGCAAACCAAACCACGCATGACGATCCACGGTGATCTCTATTACGAAGGTAAGGAATTTGAAACGCGACTTAAAGAAAAGAAGCCTGGTGAATTATCTGACGAGTTACGTACGGCATTAGGGATGCCTGTAGGACCTAATTGTCATAAGGTACCACCACCATGGTTAATTGCTATGCAACGTTACGGGCCACCACCAAGCTATCCAAATCTTAAAATACCAGGCTTAAATGCTCCTATTCCAGAAGGATGTGCCTTTGGATATCACGCTGGTGGTTGGGGAAAACCACCCGTCGATGAGACAGGAAGACCATTATACGGAGATGTTTTTGGTGTGTCTCGTACACCAGGCAGCGATGCTTTAGACGAAGAAGTAGATAGAGGCATGTGGGGTGAGCCTGAATCTGAATCATCTGGAGATGAAGAAGAAGACGAAGATGCGGAAGAAGGTGGAGATGGAGAAGCAGATGGAAAAGATGGAGATGTTGATGCGAGTGGATTGGTTACACCTCTTGCAGAAGGACTAATAACACCGAGTGGTATTACATCTATACCAGCTGGATTAGAGACACCGGAAACAATAGAATTGAGAAAGAAAAAAATAGAGAGTGAAATGGAGGGTGGAGATACTCCTGCATTGTATACCGTTTTACAAGAGCGTAGAGCAGAAGGTTTAGGTGCAAGTATGATGGGAAGTACGCACGTATATGATATGACAGGTGCAGCGGGAGGTCAGGCACCACCTTCTGTCATTGCTGCACGACGTGGTATAAGTGGAACAACATCTGATGCAAGAACAGAAAAAGATGGTGCTGTTGAATTGGCATTAGATCCTAGTGAATTAGATCTTGACTCTGAAGCAATGGCATCAAGATACGAGGAAACTATGAGATCTCGACAAGCTCACCTTAGGAGAGAAGATTTATCTGATATGCTTCAAGATCATGTGCAAAGACAAAAAAGTAAACGTAAACGACAACAAACGCAAGATACAAAAGCTTCTAAGAAATATAAGGAATTTAAATTTTAAACTAATCAAATTTTCAAATACCACAACATTATTTAAATATATAATAAAGAAAGAAAGAAAGAAAGAAAGAAAGAAAGAAAAAAAGAGAAAGAAAAAAGGATTTTAGATTTTAAATATTAAACAAATTATATAGCAAATATATTAAGGAACACAGACACTTGAATTTATAAATGTTCAATAAACAATTTTATTTCATCGTTTATAAATTAATAAATTTAAATTTATATTGTAATTATAATAAGAGAAATAGAATAATTATTGTTTGTATAAACTATATTCAACTTAGAATTACAATTAGGATTAAAGGTGTGAATATATTCATTGAAAATATAACACGTATTGATTACTGTATGAAATATAATATAAATCAGTAAATCAGTATAATATAAAACTATAAACATATTTGTAATTATTTAAATGTGTGTGAATGATATATTTTGATTATTAATTTTATTAATACTTCGTAATTAGAATTATACGAAAATCTTTCACATATTTATATAATATGTTCTTTTTCTGACAACAAATGTTCAAATAGATTTATATTAAACTTCATTAACGGATAAGAAAGATAATGAAAAATGAGTAAAATGCATGGTAAAGTTATTGCTATTGTAAATCTACTAATAGCACTACCAATCTCTAACCAACTACCATACGGATTAACATAATACATAAGAGGTAAGGACAAACAATCTCCTAAAAAAAGAACTGCTAAGAGAGCTATTCTTGATCCAAGAATATGACTTACACATCCTATCAATATTAAAGGAATACTTAGCTTAAAAAGTATCAATGAGCACATAATAAATGGAGAAAAAATGGTAATAAAATGTTGTGTCCAAAGAGGATCAAATGAACTTATGCTTGCCATGTTTCCTGTTCCAAAAAAACATAGTAGTGTATACAACATCTAATAGTGTAATTAAGGAACATGATATAGACAACTTATTTAATAGATATACAATTGTGTCTATGAAATTTGGTTTTAAACGATGAAGAAAAAGGATACGAAAAATGCTGCTTTAATGAAATCTTTGCTACTTAAAACATTATCAGTCATCTCATCAAATTTATTATCTTGGATAAATAAAGGCCAATGAAGTAAATGCATTGCAAGTGTTAAGAAAAATAAAGGTTCATAAGATGTAGATAACAAGGAGAGTGGGCAGAAAAGACCAATTGTGATTCCTTCTATCCTATTCTTTTCATTAACAGTGTAAGTCCAGATAAATAATGGCGCACTTGCTAAAATTATCCAAGATATCCAATGTCGACCATCTATTAATTTTAAATATATCAGTCCTGTTATTATTAATCTTATTATCTCAATAGCTTTATATTTTAGTTGATGCTTCATGAAAAAAACCTTGCATATCATAATACATATACCAATAGAACTAAAATATAAAAAAAAAAAAAACATTAAATTAATTTCATACTTATAAATACGAAAATATGAAAATGTTTATTATTATCCATAACTCACACTATATAAATTCGAGGATAGGGTTCTACTATTGGCAATAAAGGAAATATGGCCAAAGCTAACCCTGTCCATAATAACATATTATGTGTCTTTGTCAATATTATTTTTTGCATTAGAACAATGAACAACATCCCTGCACTGAGAGCACCTCTATATGTCAATCCCATGAACATAATAAATAACAACAAAATAGTTCCCCCTATTTCTATGAAGAAATTTGTAATATTTTGTTTCTTTAATTTGGGAACATATTGAATCATATTTATACCTGCTAACCAAAGAGAAATGGCAGTAAATAATCCATAAGATAACTGTCTCAAATTATATCCACTGCTTCCTGAAAAATACAATATTAAACTAAAAAATGTATTTTCTTAACATCTATCTTATGTTTATGTTACTAGAATTTAAAATACATTTTCAATCATTTAGATGATGTATATATATATATAATATGTATCATACCTACATATCTGATAATCAATACAATCAATGAGATTACAAATATTATGTCGAATAATAATAATAATGACAATTTTATTTCTTGACGTGGTATTCCAACTATCTTAAGAAATAATAATATTATCCAACCAATCCACATAAATGTCATATACATCAAAAAACGATTTCTTTGGTATTGCTTAAAATAATATAAATATTCTTTGGCTAATGTTATTCCTTCTTCTGCCATTTTAATTCCTTCCATTATCTTTCCATTATTGATATATTGATTAATTTCCCAAATATATTTATTAAGCTTAAGTTCTCGCCAATCCACGAAATCATCACCAATTCCACAATGAAGTATACGATTCTCTATTACTTGATATGATAATTGTTTTAAATTATTAAGTAAAGCTTGCGCAGTATATACATCATTTTTTCTCAAGTATTCTTTTCGTAATACACCCTAATAACAGTTAAATTTAAAGTTAGTTCGTAAGTAATATTTCTGAAAATAACTTGAAAAAAAAAGAGAAAAACAACGTTTAATATGGTATGATGATAGGACTAACTTCATTGTTAGTTGGTATAGGTCTGCCTATAAGTGTTGAAATTAAAGGAGTTATATCTGCCTGATCTACATCGTAACGAACTCCGGTAGAATTGACACCTGCACCCCAAGCAATCAATGGTGTCTCTGTTTCATCTGTAGATCCACTTCCATGCGAACCCCAATCGGTCATTCCATGATCAGCTGTGAAGATATATGCTGTACTTTTATCATCAAAAATTTGTTCTGTTTTGTGTACTATTTCCTTTATTCTTTGATCAATATAGTTCAGGTTTTCAATATATTTTCTAAAATGAATGAACAAATGAACCAATTACTATTTATTTATTCTTTTTAATTGTATTTCGTTTGCCATGTACCTTGATTGAGGTTTATACGAATGTCCTATAGTATCACAACCGAGAAGATGAAGAAAAAAAATAATACCATCCATGTGTTTCGCAGCATGTGATTTGTTGTCAAGCCAGTCTAAATATTTATCAAATACCCATGAATCTAGACGTAACATATTATTTTGTAAGCCATCAAAATCTTGCCACTCTGAAGGATAACTTTTGCCATGTATGGTTCCTTTATTGCCTGATTGTAGATAATATTAAATAATGATTAGACATAAAAACAAATATTTGCATTTAATAGATTGCATTTAGATTTGAATTACCTTTTGTAAATAAAGGTATAATATCAGGACTACCCCATGCCCATGTTGATTTGCTTTGATTGAAGACTGAATCAAAATCTATAGGATTTTCTTTCCATCCTTTGAAAATTGCACTTGGATCTTCATAAAGTCCTGCAGCAATTGCAACGTTACCTGGTCTTGATTCTGTAGGAACACGAGTATGCGAAATACCCCAAACACCTTCGTACCGGCTGACATTTCTAATTTATAATACGTGTCATTATTATATTATATTATGTTTCCACTAAAAGCCATTGCTTAGTGTCAATTCAAATATTTACTTTAGATATGGAGGAAGATTCTCTATAAAGGTACGATATCTCAGACCATCAGCTACAAATAAAAGCAATCTTTTGGCAGGAGCATTTTGTAAAGCTGGGACAGCAGGCAACCCTTGTATAATTGGTGAATGAAAATTGATATCCAAAATACCCCATAAGAGTACAAAATGCACTATCAATGTCCACGAAACAAATATATATGAGGTATTTTTATTATAAGCATTTGAATATCCAGTTTTATTTCGATGTATGAATTGAAAAATATGAAATAATTTTAATTTCGACATATTTTATTAGTTATTAGGTTTTGATATTTGATAACAAATATCTATATATACATTATTTATTAAAATGTCAATATAATGAAATACTTTATACTTTAATCTGTGTTAACATTTATACAATTATTATAATTTCTTTAATAAAATTAATCTATTAATTCATTTTTAGGTTAAAACTTAGACACTCGAGCTACGAAGCCATTTAATTTTGAATACTCACGTGGTGGTAATAAGACATGCGCTTTAAGGACTATTTTCATCATTTGTTTAAATTTTAGGGTAGTATACAAGTAATACACGTATTTATAGGAAATAAAAAAAAAAGTAAAAGGAATTCATTAATTAAATATAACAGTTAGATTTGAAAATGATTTTTATTTTCATTAATGATTATAAAAATTATAAACAAGCAGCCATTAATCCTGCAACATTTTCGAAATCAATTTTTTCAGTAATATTCTTTGTTTTTATATTTTCATCTTGATTAGCAATAAAGATAATTGATTTGCTTTCATCTTTCCAGCCATACTTCTTCACCCAGTGTTTCAATGTATTATCTACAATCAGAAATATGTTCATCCGTGACTAACTAAATGATTATCACTAATATATAGAAATCTTAAATATTCAAACAAAACTAACCATCTACACCACCTAGAAGTTGTACAAGAAGTTCTTTATCTATTGTCTGGAAAGTTATTCCTACAACGTGACAAACGAATTTTCTTATAGAATCTTGGAATCCAACGATTCTATCACATAGATCCGACATTAACAAAACTTGATCCCAAAATTGTTCAAAATCACATTGTTCCAATATGTCTCCCAAATACATAATCTGATTAATCGGTTTTTCTTGCATCTATAAGAAATATTAATATATCAAAAAGAACTTAATAAAATCAGTTGATGAAAAAATATGATTATCTCTTACAAGGAAAAGAAGAAAGAAGAAAGAAAAAAGAAAAAGAAACAGAAAGAAAATGGAAAACTAACAATTGACTCGTTCAGAAGACATTTACATAGCACAAAATCAGTGTGCGGAAGATTAGTTAAAGCTTTAAGCAATATCTGACAAGTTATATCCATGTTGAAACGATTTGGATTCAATTGATATAATTTCAAAACTGCCAAATTAGGTTCCAAATCATAAACATTTTCTCTTGATTGAATCTCGACGTACTTCTCCAAAGTTGTTAGGTTATCTGGATTATATCTAAATAAAAACAAAATGATTAAACATTACTTAGAAATATGATTATAAATAGATGCACCAGTTATAATGTTTATTGAATTATCTACAATTTGTAATCATTAATCTGTACCTTTCAATGCCTTTGAGCATACCAGCTACAGTTTGCCTCATTGCTTCAGCCATTTTTAATAAATATACAATATATGAACACACGTTCGTCACTTTTCTTGCTTATTAGATTTAAATTTTCACTGATTTGAATTAACTTGACAATTTAATTACAATTCAGATATGGAATTAATGTTCATATAAACATATCTTTGTAGCATGTCAAGGTAACCTAACATTTGTCTATATCTTATCTATGTCTATTTAATGACTAACTATAGGCATAATTGTGAACTAACAAATTTGATGTATCGAATGGCGTTTATCGATTTATCGATATGAATATGTAGTTTAAAACTTTGCTTGAATAATTTTTTTAAGAATAATTAAAAAAAAAAAAACAACAATTGATATTTACATCTAAAGTGTAGAATTTCGTAAAATGTCATAAAATTAGGGGAAAAAAATAAATACATCACTATGTGTACATAATACATCTATTCCTTGCATAAATGCATATAGGGAGTTTAGAGAATACTTTGAAATAATTATTACAATTATTTAAGTAATTATATAATTTCACTGTTAAATGATAAAACGTCGAAGAAAATGATTCGTTCAATATTAAATAGAATAGAGGAAAAAACATGGAACTTTGACATCATTTTCAGATGTATTATCCAGATAAAAAACGTTAGGTATACCTAACGTAGTGTTTGTACCTTTTCACTGTAAAATACATGAAAGCGCGTCTATATCTTCGTTCAATGGACAATTAGTATAATTTAAATACTTAAGCGAGGAAGGTTAAAAAAGGATACTACAAGTGTCAACGAGAGATGACAGACGAGGCCATGATAGAAAACAGTTATGGTGCCGACAACAGTGCATGAAAATAAAGTAATTATATCGACGAATGTGCTTTTATATATATATATATGTACATATACTATACATGTATACATATATACATATATATAATATATATATATATATATATATATTACTTTCAAAATCAATTGGAAAAAGTAAATATCGTTGGTATACGATTTTAAACAAATTGACATAAAGAAGAAACAACTGGTCAATAAAGAAAAAAATGACCAGAGCCTTTTAGTGTACATATATACAAATAATGTTTTGGTTCAATTAGAACATTTACAACTGTAATATATTCTTATATACTTTATTTAAATCTCATAGAATCTTATTAACATACTTGTATTATACCGAAGTGAGTATACGTAAGTCATTTATTTGTATATTAATAATGTATATGTAAATGTCCATGTATATTTTTGTTATCTTGTTTTTCTAATTGCAGGTTAGATAAATTAAACAAACGTGTACCTTTTGCACCATGTGGATAATTTTTATAGATAATGTTTCAATAATGTTGCAATAGTAATTTTATTTGATTTTATAATATGTTATATATAACTAGATAAAATAAATACACTTATACAATATATTATTTTCTTACAGATAGAGTAACGTTTTTTCGTAGAAGATACATATATAATTAATAGCAATATATAGAGCAATATCAAATTGATGTGGATCATGATTATTATTTTATTCACCAGTATCGAGGTGAATGAACTGTGATGGAGTGGATAAACACTACTACAATATATATTATAACATGGAGTTGTTTGATATGGGGTTTCCATTCAGTTCCCCAAGTACCCCCAAAACAAGTTCCATGTGATAAAACACGGAAGGTATTTACAGAATCTTGGGGAATAATTAGCGATGGTCCTTTAGGTTCAAATTATACTCAAGATTCTCACTGTGAATGGCTTATTAAAGGTATTAACATAAATGTTAATTTGTATTTATTTGTATTTATTTGTATTTATTTGATGCAATTGATACAATTGATATAATAATGCATTATCTTGCAGCAAACAACAGTCATCAATTCATTACACTTAGTTTTCGTACAATGGGTACAGAATGTAGTTACGATTATGTATTTGTTTACGATGGAGATTCTTTTCATTCACCACTTTTGGGTAGTTTTAGTGGCAAAACAGAACCGCAGCAAGTGACGTCGTCATCTGGTTATGTAAGTAAATAAAAAACAATATATTTATACGAAATAAATGCATTCTTAATTACACTTAAAATCTTGTCCTTATAATTGGCATTTTGTAGATGTTAATATTACTATATAGTGATACAAATTATGTTCTGGATGGATTTCATGCTGAATTCTCAGTTATGGATTGTCCTAATAATTGTACAAATCATGGAAAATGTATTAATAATACTTGTTTTTGTGAAAATGATTGGGGTGGTAAAGATTGCTCTAGAGCTTTATGTCCAGATAATTGTAATAATAATGGCACATGCGAAATCAAACGTTGCCAATGTCACCAAAATTATTCTGGACAATCTTGTTCGTTGCATTCGACTCATCCAGAAGGAAACAGGTTTATATTTAACTGTAGTAACTGTTTATATTTCATTGATAATACATATGTATATGTATATTAGTCTATAGATTAATGATTTTTATTATTCAGATGGCATTGGCTGTCGCATTCGGAAGGTGGTTTAAGACCACGCGCAGCTCATACAGCAGTTTATGTCAAGGAAACTGATTCTTTATACATATTTGGTGGCTATGATTTAAATTTTATACTCGGTGATTTAGAAGTTTATCGTTTTAGTACTAGCCAATGGGAAAATGAACATGGTATAGTACTGGGTATGTATCACCATCTAATTATTATTATTATTATTATTATTATTATTATTATTATTATTATTATTATTATTTTTTTTTTTTTTTTTTTTTAAGTTTTTTAAATATTTTGTAATAAGTTCTTTATTAAACTAATTTATTAAACATTCGCAGAGGGAGCATCGTCCATGGAATATTTAGATCCTAGACTTATTACGCATGAATTGGCACAAATAGATACAGACGAGGAAGAACGATATGGTCTCTCGACTAAATCGATTGTTTGGAAGTTACTCAAAAGTATTGAAAATAATAATGCATTAGCTCTACAGGATTTTGCAGCCTCAGAAGCAGCAGGAACATACAGATGGAATAAGTTTAATAATAATTCTAATCACAGAGAACGCGAAAAGAGTAATCGAGAAGGCAACGTAAGCAGGATTGGTACGAGTAAATATAAAATTATGAGGAATGATAGTATTGAAAAAGTCCAATCCATGTTGGAAAGGTAAAATGAAAACGTTAACAACATCTATTGCATATATGTAGAATTATTATTTTGTCTTGTTATTTTTCCTTCCTTCCTTCCTTCCTTATCTTTTCAAAGGTATCGCAGAGATTTTGAGGATATAAACTTGTATAAAAAGCATCATATCTCTAGAATAGAACAGAATGATGATGCGAACTGGGAAAGACCAAGTACAAATGAAACCACAAAAGAAAACTCATTTATCCAACAAACTGGAAAACAAATTGAAGAAGAGAAGCCAAGTCCGCGATATGGTCATGCTGCATGCAAATACGAAGGTTAATTATTAAAGGAAACTGTTAATATAAGTCGAAATATCAAAATGCGAAATAAATATTGCTGGTTATAGGAGGCCTTGTCATCTATGGCGGTAAAATAGAGGATGGGTCTTTGTCAAATGAACTTTGGCATTATAATGTTAAAACACGAATTTGGACATTGCGCGCTAAGAATTCTACGTTTTATCCACCTCGACTTACAAGACATACTCTTACATTGGTAAATGACTATATTTATCTGTTTGGTGGTAGTACAGTGGACGGAGAATTTTCATCTAGCCTGTACAAAATTAGATTGAACTTTTGTAAGTTTTGTGGTAAAAAAAAAAAAAAAAAATAATGTAAAACATTTTTAATCATTAGAAAAATGTCAAATGAATTCTAATCAATTTGCTTGTTTTAGCTGATTCTACATCAACGAGCGAAAAATGGCTAAAGGTACGCCCTCGTGGTGGAAAAGAATTAGATGTTCGTGTTGTTGCCCATTCAACTGTTTATCACAGTGCTACTAATTCTTTACTTGTTTATGGTGGAGTTGTAGCCAGCGTAGCACGTTTCAGTAAACTTTCAGATAGAATGTTTGTTTTTCAATTGGATCGAAAAGTTTGGTCTGAAATTCATTATCCAAGAGCACATTTACGAGATACTTATGTGCCTAGAGAGCGTGCATTTCATACTTGTAATATAATCGGTAATAACATTTTTAACAATCTAAACAATTTTTCTAAATCAATTCTAATCTTTTCAATTCAATATTATATTTCATTTGAAATGATTTCAGGTAATTATCTAGTTGTATTTGGCGGATATTCTCATAGACACAACAAAGAAGAAATCTGTTACGACAACCAAATGTATCTTTATCATTTAGGTTGTCATACTTGGGTCAGTCATGACGTTTTAGGATTAAATGACAAAGGTAATCAAATGTTATATATTTAATATTTCTAATTTATATAATATCAAATGTAAATCTACAGATTCACGTTATCCCAAGCAACAAGGTGTCTTCGCACATGCTTCGGACGTACGAAATGGGAATACTTTGTTATTAGTTGGAGGCTATCATGGTAATGTAAATGCGGATTTTCTTGCTTATACTTTACCACCGATGCTTGCACCAGGAGATAATGATAATATAGAACCAGAACAGATTTGTGCAAGGCATAAAAGTTTCACGGAATGTGCTGCAAATCCAGAATGTGGGTGGTGCTCTGCAGACGAGGTATATAATTTATATATATATTTCTTTAATGATACGATCATTCTAATTGATTTCTATATATGTATATATTATTTATACTTTTAATTGAAATATTTGAGATATGCTATGGAAGAACCATTGGAAGTAATTGTACGACAAATCTTCAAACTACACGGTGTCCTGGCGTTTGTCCTGCTTTGGGCGATTGTCATTCTTGTTTAACGCATGGACAACCTGGTGGTGGTTGGGGTAAAACGTCTCGTGGTAGAAATTCAGTTTCTAATAAACTAAACCTTGGAACTTGTACATGGTGCGTTCAGAATGCACGATGTCATCATAAAGATGATAATTATGGAGTTTGTGGTCTTCGAGACGATACTCCTTCGCAAATACCAGGTTGGTGGGGATCAAAGGGTACAGAAATTACACAAGTGGCAGAATGTCGAGAAATGGACAAAAGGCCAGGTTTAACATTTCTGAAATATAAGCCTCCAGTTAATTTTAGTCAGCCTGATTCTGTAACCATAGTCAATGCCACTACGGTTGATTTCAATGTACCATCCATGCAAGGAGCAAAAACAGAATCAGCTTTGGGTGGAGAAATGATTGCTAGATTAACAGGCTTCTTGAGATTACCATCGTATTTTTGGCATAGCACGATTGAAAATTTAAAAATATGTGTTAGTTATAATAGTGCAACGCTTCATGTATCGCGATCTAATGATACACAAAAATTGGTAAGTTAAATCATAACTATTGTTATTGTATATTGTTATTGTATATTGTATATTGCATATTGGTATTGGTATTGGTATGGGCATGTAATATGTTGTTACATTTTTAGGAATTAGTTGCAAATTTGACTGCTGAAACATCTCAATGCATACCTACTAAATGGCCGGACGAGCAGCAAATGATGTTGCAACATGGACGTTATCTTCTTGATTTTGAATCCAAAAGAATGGTTACAACAAGTTATGCGTATGCCAGTAAGATGGAAATTACGCATAGTAAAAAAATGGAAAATCCCAAAGTTTTTACTTTCGAATATCTTGAACCATATCAAAATGGGACTTGTAATCAGTACAAGAATTGTCTTCATTGTTTGATAGATTCTTCGTGCGGTTGGTGTGATATTACCAACAAATGTCTTTCACGTTCTATTAACGAAACAGAAAGTTGCGCAACAGATGTAGAAATAGATGAAAATGACAATCCGATACGTGAATGGCATTATTTAACTATCACTCCATCGGCTTGCTCAAATTGTTCCAATTATATTTCATGCGAATCGTGTGTCGGTAGCACCTTATGCGAATGGTGGACAGAGGATGCTCGGTGTGCAAGAATAGGTAGATTACCTAACGCTGTTGTTAGTATAGATCAATGTCCCATTCCTTGCAGACAGAGATCTAATTGTACGCAATGTTTGGATGAACGTGGAAGATGTGTATGGTGCGAAGCAACGCAAGAATGTTTTTCATTTTCAGTATATACATCAGAGTATCAGTTTGGTTTGTGTAGAGAATGGATGGATCAAGCAGGTTTAATGGGAGTAACGTCCAGATCTGGTTCATCATTGACGAGTAATGATCAATGTAAAAGTTGTAGTCGACATACTAATTGTTCTAGCTGTTTACATTCGCTGAGCTGTGGCTGGTGTTACAGTTTAGAGAATCCAATTATGGGAGTTTGTGTACAGGGAGACTTTAATCGAGCTCACGTCAATTGTAGTTCAACTATGAACGAATATTTAAATACCACTCTTGAAGCAAACGAATCAGGCTGGGCGTATGCTCAATGCCCAGATGTAGACGAATGTGACTTGGGTCTACACGATTGTCACCATAATGCAGTTTGTACTAATACACACGGTAGCTATAGTTGTCAATGTGACAGAGGCTTCAATGGAGATGGCAAAGAAAATTGTACAAAAACATGTTATGAAAAATGTATTAATGGATATTGCAGCGAGGCACCTGATTATATATGTCAATGCAATCTTGGATGGACTGGACCAGATTGTAGAACAAATTGTGGTTGCTACAATCATTCGACTTGTTTTCAAGGACCAGGTATATGCGATAAATGCCAAAATTGGACTACCGGTCAATTTTGCGAAAAATGTGAAGCGGGTAGTTATGGCAATGCCACGACGATAATGGGTTGTAAACAATGTAACTGTAATGAACACGGAGATAAGGATCTAGATATTTGTGATCGACAAACAGGCACTTGCTTCTGTCGCGATAATACAGAAGGTGATATGTGTCAAAGATGTAAAAAAGGATATTATGGCGATCCAAAAAATGGAGGAATGTGTTATTACGGTTGTATGTCTAGAGGAATGTTAAGTGGAGAAGGAAAAGGTAAACAAGGCCTTGGCAGTAGACATTCGCAAATGTCTCCATGGGAAAGTCATTTTGGCGGCGATTCATTAACAAGGGAATGCTTGTGGATCGTTAGTCCAAATACCGATCTCTCAACTGATCCAATATTTCCTATACAAAGTGTTATTCAATTTACGATACATGATGATATCAATGTCAGTTGTCAAGAGAACAATGTCTATGTATACGATGGACTTCCCGAATTTGTTTCATCTTCCAATTATCATCAAAATCAATTGGTTGGAGTTTATTGCACTGAAAGTACGGATTATCCTGTTACAGTAGAAGCTAAATCTGGATTTCTTACCGTTCACTACAAACAGTTGGACGAAGTTGAAGGATTTAATGCAAGCTATATCGTAATGACGTGTGAAAATTGTCCGAAAAATCGAGAGTGTAGAAATCATAATTGTTTGTGCAAAGCTGGTTTCGTTGGTATCGATTGTAACATAGAATTATGTCCAAATAATTGTACTTCATCGAAAAAACAAGGAATCTGTGACAAAGGATACGGTCGTTGCGTTTGTTCGCCTGGTTTTGGTGGAAATGATTGTTCGATTAAAATTAAAGAACATCAATTGGTTTTCACGGAATTGTTCAATTCCGAATATCTTGCTGATCATTTAGATCATTTAAGAAAAACCTTGCCACGTTTTGGACATAGCTTAGTTGCCGATAGAAGGGGTAGTCTTTGGATGTTTGGTGGATACTCCCTTAGTCATGGGCCATTGAATGACATTAGACTATTTGATACTAAGAACAATACATGGATGACTGTAACTGTAGACTCTACACCAGATGCATCGATGCCTCAAGGCAGATATTTTCATGCTGCTGAAATAGTTCATAGTAGACAACAGATATACGTGTACGGAGGATTATCTATGAAAGACAAAGAAATTTCAGGATTATCCAATAATACGTTGGATGACTTTTGGAAATTTAGTCTTCAAAATCAAAGATGGAGTCAAATAGTCCAAAATGAAGTGAAAAAGGAGGAACCACCACCTTTGGCAGGACATACATTAACTTTACGTAGAGATGGAGAATCCGAAAGTTTATTACTAATTGGTGGATTTAGTCCAAAATATGGCTATTTAGATACTGTATGGGAATTTAATTTAGAAACTGAAATTTGGGATACGATAAGTACAAATGGAAATGGTCCTTTAGTAATTTATGGACATTCAACGGTATATCATAGTAAATCTGATAGCTTTTATGTATTTGGTGGATGTACCTATGTTGCTGGCAAAACCTTTATTTCCAATAAGCTTTATGCTTTAAATTATAGAAGTCGTAGATGGTCCGTTTTACCACCGTTTGAGGATGATATAACTGATGGTAGCAGCTTAGTTAGTATCTATTATTTAACTTACAAATTCAAACTTATCAAATAAACTTGTAACTAACTATTCATCAACTAAACTATTACTTTTTATTCGTTACAGCCTCAAGCTAGATTTCTTCACTCGGCTGTTACAACCGAAGAATATATGGTAATATTTGGTGGTCGACAAAATCCTCGAAGTACTTTTGATTCTTTAATAGCATATAAATACTCGTGCAACTTGTGGATTCGATTACTAACAAATGATATGGAAATAATTGGTAATCCACCACCGCCGTCATATGCGCATGCTATGACACACGCTGATCCGGAATCTAATGCTATTTATGTTGTTGGTGGTTTCGATGGTGGGATTAAGAGTCATGTTACTTTGATTAATATACCTGAAGACTTGTGCAATCTGTGGACAAACAAAGTTGCATGCAGAAATTATTTTGGTTGTTCCTTCTGTTCTGTTACTACAATTTTAGGAACTAATGCTTCCTATTGTTTTTCCAACGAAGTATCACTTAACAGAGGCGACAAGTGAGTATTTTTTAATATTTAGTGTGTGTGTGTGTGTGTTTATTGTTTTTTTTGTTTTTTTTGTTTTTTTTTTTTTTTTAGATGTGATATTAATGTGACTCAAGCGCAAAGATCAAATGGAGTATTTTGCAATTCTGATTGGATGACTAGTAGGAAATGTCAAAACTTTAAAACTTGCACAGAATGTTTAGCTGAATGGCCGTATTATAAAAATAATGAACCTATTTGTAAATGGTGCACTAATTGTCCACATGGTAAATGTATACCACATGAAAAAATTTGCGAACAGCAAAACAAGTGCAATGTTAGACAAATATCGATAGATGACGTTAAGCAATGCAGTGAATTGCAATGCTCAGCTAATGATTGTGAAAAATGTAATACCCTTGGCAACTGTGTATGGACTAGACAAGTTTTACAAACTTGTGAGTAGTATGGCATAATTCAATTCAATTTCATCGTAATTCTTGCTAATAATATAATAGATATTATATTATTATTTTTGTTCTTTTTTTTTTTTTTTTTTTTTAGCTGAATTGGGAATAAAAGTGACAGATGAACCGATATACAATTGGAATTGCGTACAGGAAGATGTCTTTGAAAGATCAAATGTAAAAATGATCAACACTCAGTGTGAGAAAAGATGCGCAGAACACAAAGATTGTAGAAGTTGTTTGAAAGAAACAGGAGATGAAGGAGGTTGGAAACAATGTAGATGGTCCACGCAACTTAACGAAGTTTGTATCATATATAATATAATATAATATAAATATTGTTTAATATTAATATATTAAACATTAATAAAATATATCTATCTTTTTTTCTCATTGCAAATTGACAGTGTATCTCACCGTCGTATCAACCACTTTATTGTGCTGGTGGAGTGTGTGGTTTAGTATTACGCAATTCAGACATAGATCATTGTCCAGAACCATGTTCAGTTTTTACGCAATGTAGTACATGTTTAAAACATTCCCATTGTGGTTGGTGTTCTATGGATTCTACTAATATAACCGGACGAGGTATTTGTACGGAAGGATCCTTAGAAGCACCTACGGAACATCCAGCAGGTGGAACTTGCGAAATGATTTATTACGAAAAGTTCTCTCATACCGAGCCACGTAAGGGATTTCTTGAAAATTCATCTGATTCTAGACATATTATGAAAGAAGAACTACTGCATATTATTGTTATAGTTTTATTTTCATTATTACAGCAATTTTAACCACTTTATTTCCACATCACTTAGGAGACTTTGTATCTCAGGACAGTGTTACTATGACTTTGTCTAATTTTTTGATGGAATCACCATTTTCTTGGCATTACGTGCGTTGTCCGATGGAGGATGAATGTTTAAATGGTCATCATACATGTTCACCGAAAAGTGAAAAATGTTTTAACTTGGATGAGGGATTTGAATGCATGTGTGGCGACGGATATAAAACAGAAATGTAATTTTTCATCAAATAATGCATATATATATATATATATAAATAAATATAAATATTGTATAAATTTATTCTTTTCTGCAGCAGCAGCAGCAGCAGCAGCACATGGTCATCTAATGAGCCTGGAAGGTAGATATATAAATAATTGATTTCAATAAGAAGGAGAGAAATTGTTAAATATAATATTTTGTTGTTAGGAAAATTTGTGTGCCAACATGTAGCCAAGGTTGCGTACGAGGTACATGCATCGAACCAAACGTTTGTCAATGTGATTTTGGTTACGTGGGAGCTAATTGTTCCATTCAATGTCAATGCAATGGTCATAGCAATTGTGCAGGACCAGACAAATTAGATGTATGTTTAAAGTGCCATAATAATACGATGGGACGTCAATGCAGTAAATGCTTACCTTTGTACGTTGGAAATCCTGCAGACAATGGACAATGTATACCATGCTTGGAATATTGTAATGGACATACACATATCTGTATTAATGAGAGCATGACTGTTCCGGTAATATTTAAATAGATGAAAGAAAATTCATCATCTTATAGAATAAAACTTTCATTTGATTTTCTTCCTCTCTCTCTCTCTCTCTCTCTCTCTATCTCTCTCTGTCTCTTTCTTTCTTTTTTAGAATCCTAATTCTGTTGACAAAATGTCCATAGAACTATTGAAAAAGCAATTGGGAGAAGGTCCTATAGCAACAGCTAAATGTGTTAATTGTGGAAACAACACGAAGGGTGATAAATGTGGAGAATGTATGGTGGGTTATTTTAGAGGAACAGAAGATCTACGCGATGTTTGTCGTCCGTAAGTATTATAATTAATTAAGATAATATAATGATTTATTTATTATAATGAAGTAAATAAAAGAGAGCATTCATTTGATATGTAGTTGCGAATGTCATGGTCATGGATTTACTTGTGACCCAGTGACAGGCGAAAAATGTAATTGTGGTAATAATACAGAGAGTGAACCATCTTGCACTAGTGGTCCTATAAAAGCTACAAATATGGGTGGTACACCCTGTTGGATGGTTCAGTGCAGTAAGTGTAGAGAAAACTATGCAGGAACGCCAACTATGGGCCATCAATGTTATAAAACTGTTACCGTTGATAACAAAATGTGCTTTGACTCAAAGTTAATAGGTAAGTTTAGTTGGAACATATTAACAACAGTAATTATAGTAGTTAACGCTTTAAGTAATAATAGTACTTGTGTGTACTTAATACTTTTTATCGCGTTCCACATTTAAACTTTGATAAAGTATTATTCTTGTTGCAACTTTCTGTTCTGTCTGGAGGATTGTATGGTTTGTACACCTCCAATTATGAATCTATCTATTTCATATTGCCATCTTTTTATCATCAAATGTAAATTTGTATACATTTCATTTTAGATGAGTGCAAGATGAAACCGAAACCATTGAATCCTGGACAAACTGTATTTTATATGGTACAACCTCGATTCATGAATGTAGATATTAGAGTGATGGTTGATGTTACGCAAGGTGCCTTGGATCTTTTTTTGAGTCCTCGCGATGACTCGTTCGTTGTTACATTAAATTCCTCCACAGGTTATCAAGATGTAAGTCCATTTGTTCCACGCGCGTATAACGTTATAATATATATTTACGTATTATTATTATTATTAATTGGCATTGTTGCTTTAGGTTGAATTGGATAGCAGATTTAAATGTATATATAGGTGCAAAGATCATCATGATTCGTGGTTAGAAGATCCACAACAACGTAGTAAAATTAGGATCGTGGAATTTCATTCGCGCAACTCTTATTCTTTCTCAAATAATAATAATAATAGTACTGCAGAACCAAGTTTGACTTCTACCGGCCTTCACTATATAGTGATAGAACAATCTGCAGATAAATTTGCTACATTCAAGACAATCGATAAAAGAAATACATTTTTAATTATCAGGAATCTGACAAATCGATTGGTTTTAACATTACCACAAGATAAACATGAACTTGGTCAAACCAAATTTCATATTGCTTTAAGAGCAATCGATACCTATAATCCAGATGCTAGTAGTAGAGCTGCATACGGGATGATCTTTTTTCGACAAGATCAATTACACATCGATCTTTTTGTTTTCTTCTCAGTTTTCTTTTCTTGTTTCTTTCTTTTTTTGGCTGCTTGTGTTGTAGCCTGGAAAACTAAACAAGCAGCAGATGTACGTAGAGCACGGAGAAGACATGTCGTGGAAATGTTACATATGGCTAATAGGCCATTTGCTACGGTTACCATTCTTTATGACAGAGATGGGAACAATTGTAGTCCAAGTTCACCACAACGCAAGAATAGACGTAACAAAGCTATAAGTTCTCACAATGATGTCAGACCAGTTGCAGTAGAACCGACTGATGATGGTAATGCAGCTGTAGCTACGGTTTTCATCAAACTACCCGGGGGACAGCAAGCTCCTGTTAAATTAGCTCTTGGTAGCTCATTAATACTTTTAACCAGGCTCTATCCGGTTAATAGCAGAGTGTTTCTAAGGCGCAGAAACAGTCATGCATAAAGTCGTCAGGTCAGTATGATTGATGATTATGTATTATATAGAACCGGTGGTTATTTTTATTAAATATTATTCAAAATATCTTTAACTGATTCTAATACATTATTTTATTATGTTAATTGAATCTAAATTATTTTCATTCATTAATAAGAATCTCTAATATTGTATAATAATAATAATATATATATATATATATATGAGCGGGAAGGAACTAGAATATAATATATTATCACACCATTCCAAACGGAGACTGTATCTTTGTATATAATACTGTATAATTATGTATTCATTCATGCTCAACAACAACACCTTTTTGTAGAAATACATTTTACATTATGTGATATGTCTTAAATCGTATGCCCCTTGTCAATTGATATCGCGTCATTTTATATCTTTTACTGCTATGTTCTTTTATTAAACTATTAAATGTCATTCTTTCTACAATAAACGATTAAAAATATATCAATTGAAAAAAATCAAGCAAGTAATAATAATTTCCATCATTTCATTTGATCGCTTTATGTTTGATCGTTTTCATATTGAAATATATAAAAATAAAAGTAGAAACAAATAAATGTGTTAATAAATTAAATGAATTAGTTTATTTGAATTCTTTATGCAAGTATGAAGTGTCCAAAAGTGCAAGATTTAAGTCAATATTTTAATCACATAATATAAAATTGTGCACGCAAAGATGTAGATACTTGACAAAATATTTCTGTGCCAAATTATAATTCGAATATTTCAAATTTTTTATGTATCATAATTTATAATTACGGAGTAGTAAGTTATCGTGATTAGCATTATTAAAATAACTGATTTCAATTTCTAATTTTATAAAAAATAAAAAAAAAGTATTTATTTTATTGTTAAATATGTATCTTTTAATAAGGCACATCATGTTTTCCAATATATAAAAAAAATATATATATATATATATATAAATATAGTCAGAAAAAATGGCTAATTTTAAATGCAAATTTTACGAAATATTACTTTGTATAGTAAAAATAACGAAATTGTAGATTTTTATTAAAGATGTATGATAAATATAAACAAACGCATATTACTGTAATTCTTCATTTTTACTTATATTACTAAAATGAAATGTATAAAATCTAAAAGTAATATATATATATATATATCAGAATTATTATATTAATCAAAATATATACAAACAAAACATGAATGTGTTAACAATATTTTAGCTGTATTACTAATAAGGACTGATAAAATATTAGTAAGATAACTAATATATCACAAAATAAAAAATGATTTTCTTTATTATTAAAAATAATATTCTTTGGAGAATTATTAAAGGACAGGCAAATAATATAATATATATATATATCTGATATGTTGATATATTGAATCTCAATGTCTGATATTTTTCTATATCTTATTAACTTAGATCTACATTATATTATATATTATTTGGATTTATTACAGAGTTTTTTTCTTCTTTTCTGTTTTGCGTAAATGCACATGTGATGCTACATGCAAAATGTTTTCTATAACATATTTTAATAATTTAGATTTAGTAAGAAAATAAAGAAAGAGACAAAAAAGAAAATTTATACTTGAGTGTAGACAATGCGTTTTATAATTAATGTTTGAAATATTGTATTACCTGCTAGACAGGGAAATAAAAATAAAGATTTTACCAATCAATGATTTATATATAAATATTTATTGAATAATATTAAATAATATATTTTATAAATACGTTCAACTATGTGCTAGTTTCTTTTTTATATTATTTTCTAATACATTTATATCTTGGCCAAGTGCAAAATATGATGGACCAGGATATGTAATCTCAGCGCTACCCAAACATAATTGGCCAGAGTATAAAACAGCATACTAAACATAAAATAGTTGCCATTAATGCTATTTGAAAATTATATTTCATTTTTCATTTCTTAAATAGTAATGATGGAAAATACTTACTTGTCCTATAGTAATAGCCCTTAAAGGTTTTGAAAGTTGAATAATTAAATGATTGTTTAATGTTTTAAATACATTACAAACAGTAAGTGGTTTTCTATGTTGAAAACGAAAATCGCAAATGAAAATACGTTCGCTATTTGTAAGCTCTGGTGGTTCACCAGCAATCCAATGTGGATTTTTAGTCATTAAAAGATCTGTATATAAAGCTGGATGATTTGTACCTTTGACCTAAATTAGATGTGTGTTATGTGTGTGTGTGTTATGTTGTGTGTATATATACTTTATCAATATTTTCTATTTACTCTAATACATATCATACATATAATACTTACTACAGTTATAATATTTGTTTGAAGGTTTTTTTGAAATACAAAATATGGATCTGTTAATCCAGAAATTCTACACCTCTGTCCAATGGTCCAATGATGGATACCTTGATGCCTTCCAACTACTTTACCATTATCTAAATCAACGAAATCTCCATCCTTGTTTTCTATATACTAAAAAAAAAAAATGGAAAATGGAATGTTAGAGTTTAATTGTTATGTTTATTATTATTATGTAGATATTGAAATTATTTCTATACCTCAGAAATGAAATGTTGAAATTCACGCTTTCCAACGAAGCATATACCCATGCTCTCCTTTTTTTCAGCTATTTCAATTAATCCTGCTTCTCTAGCTATTTTTTTCACGTCACTTTTGAAATATTCTCCAAGCGGAAACATACAATATCTTAATGATCGTTGCGACACTTGAGATAAAAAGAAGGTTTGATCTTTATTAGGATCTAATGCTTTTAGCATAAGGACATCTACAAAATATCACTGCAAATCAAATATGCACTTAAATATGAACATATATATATATATATATATATATACGCTCACGTTTACTTACTAAAGATATGTATATATATATATATATATATATATATATAAATATATATTAAACTTACTAGTATGTGGTTTAAAATTTTCAAGATAAGGTCCAAAACTAGTTCTTACATAATGTCCAGTAGCCACTGCATCTGCATGAAATTTAGTTTGTGCAAGATTAATAAAATGATCAAATTTGATATTCTTATTACATATAATGTCAGGATTTGGTGTAGAACCAGATTGATATTTCTCCAGAAGGGTGCTGTAGGAAATAAAAACAATGCTCATTTGTAAGATACACTAGATCTTATTATATACATGTATTTCTTTTTATCGGACATACCTAAAAACATTATTCCAATACTCCTTGACAAAATTGACTTGAAATAATGGAATATCAAGTTTTTCACAAACCTTTTTGGCATCATTATAATCTTGTTCAGCAAGACATATTCCTTTTTCGTTTATTATATCCCAATTTTTCATAAAGACACCCACAACGTTGAATCCTTCCAACATTAATATACATTAATAGTTTGACATAAGTAACATAAGTAGTGTTCTCATATAAATATTCTCAGATAAATATTCACCTTTTTTTTTAAGTAACAGTGCTGTCACAGCACTATCTACTCCTCCAGATATGCCCACAACAATATTTTTCAACATTTTTTATAATTATATATGTTATGTACATGTCATTTATTTTTGCCTCATTTGCAATCCTATATATATATATAAGAAATCTTCAATTAATCTATTACAAACAAACCAAATAAATCGAAACAATATTGAAGACAAAATAAATTATTCTATTCAATTAATTATATATTAGAAGAGCAATTAGGAATTATACTGAACATACAATATATTTAAATGTACATACATGTGAATTTTATTATTTTTTCAATAAAATTGAAAAATTATGAAAATAATCATATTATAACTATAATTTAGTAGCCACAAATATATGGCGATAAATATATGCTCTAATAAATGCTATTCAAGAAATAATAATATTTACATAGAAAATATTTTTTAATATTCATCCATTTTATTTTTATCAAAGAGAAAATACGTCAATAAATGAACTTTTTCATTAGCTTTCTTTTCATATTTTCATCTTTTCATTGAAGCAAACAATAAATCAAGTGGTAGTATATTGTTTAAGAGAATATAGAGAAATAAAAATGTGATACAATAATGGAACAATGTTCGATTTTGTATCATACCTATGTCTTGCATTAATTTACTTCCTCTAATCGCTTTAATCGAGTCTAAGCAAATTAAAGGTTAGAATTTAACGGTGTGAATGTAGCGTTAATATCGGTACCATGTGGTACCAAGAGGTGCATGCATCCGATAGGTGGCCACTTTGCCGATCCTTATGGATAAAGAGAAGTTAAAGAAGAAAAGGAGAGGGAGAGAGAGAGAGAGAGAGAGAGAGAGAGAGAGAGAGGAAAAAGAGGTGTCATAGAATGTAATGGTGGATAAGGAAGGAGGGAGGGACGGAAAGAGAAGTATAGGAACATATAGTTTGCCGTTTTAGCGTTCAACTGCATTCGCTTCATATTTTGAGACTTGCGCGCCATAAATCGACTTGCCGAAACAGAATCGACCAATCAGAATTCGGCTTTCTCATCGAAGAACCAGTAAAGCTCGTTGACAGATACGCAACGCCTACTTCTATCGAGTTGTATACTTATCGTGGCAATCCACAGTTTAGAGATAGATACGACGTATTCGTTACTTAGTATTTAGATTGAAAGACAAATTTTTTTCAATTAAACACGCATTTTTCCATAAACGCGCGTCATTTTTTATGAACGTACGGGGTTTTGCGCAGTTTTCATGACCTACATTATGATGGGGAGTTCGCTCGCTTTTCGGAACAGCTGTTGGGAGACGAAGATGGCGACTTCTTGGAGAGACGGGTGGGGAGGGGAATCTGTCGACGCTTGGATATCTTGTGCGATGCGCGCGCATCTTGGCGGCGAAGCCGCCACCGATTACCAGGGTCGTATCATTTTCATTAATAAACATAGGACTTTATTCTTTTACCATATTCAAAGAGAATATCGAGAGTTGCAATCTCCATAACAAGTAAATAATAATTATGGATTTTGATAATGATCTATCTCTGTGCATTTCTATAAGCAAGAATTTACTTCCGCTAATGTTTTTATTCCAATTTTCCTATCAAATTGAAATACCTTTTCTCGCTCTGTAATTGTGACGAAGTTGAATCGAGTTCACGTTAGATGATAGTGTTGAAATTGACGATGTATTCGCGCATAGAAACAAATCATTCTATATTATTTGCGTTAAATGCAAATTACGAAGAGAACTTTAAATCCGCCGAAATATCGTAATTATTATAAAAGATATGTAGCAGTATAAAGCAGATTTGCCATGCTTCGTGTATGCTTTTGTAGTCCTTTAATTATTCTATTTGAAGTTCTTTCATAAATGAGAAATGAATACGTCATAATTTCTTGTTCTTACATTGTGTTTTATTGACAATAAATATTACAAATTAAACTTTAATAAATTTGCTAAATTTTTTAGAAATAAATTATGCATAGAATTTTGAGGAAATAGGAGAGGCAAAGATAAAAAAAAAGGAGAACATTAATTTGATGAAAAAATAAATATTCCTAGATACTAAGAGTTTGTAGAGGAACACCTGCCGTACATCCGTTAATACGACACTGTCGTGGTGCCCCTACTCCTCCTCCTCGATTTCTCCCACCATTCGATTCGTCGACTTTCCCCGTCCCGCTAGGTAGCCAATCGGTTCCTTGTTTGCCATACAAAATCCAATAGTTTGCCTTGTACATTCGTGCAGTGCGAGAATGTACTTCGTATTTTCTACGATTTTCGGCGGATAGCGCGGTAATTCTTTCGGCAGCTTGACGTGTAATTGTTAAAAAATGTGCATTCTCTCGTGTCTATTTACGCACACTACACGATTTCGATGGTTTTAAGAAGATATCAAGAGAAATAAGCATAAAAGTAGGAGGTAAAGACAGAAATTCCGGTTTCAATTTTGTGATAGAAGACTGGACGCCCGTTCTTGCACGAGAAGCAAAAAAAAGAAGAAAAAGTTATAGAAAAGAAGCGAACGAAAGGAAGAAAGAGAAGAGGAAGAAGAGGAAGAAGAGGAAGAAGAGGAAGAAGAAAAGGACAAAGAAAAAGAAGAGAAGAAGAAGAAGAAGAAGAAAAAGAAGAAAAAGAAGAAAAAGAAGAAAAAGAAAGCAGCTTCTCTCCGGTTGGTTTAATAGAAATAAAGAAAAAAAAAATACTTTCTCGTTTTACCGCACACTGCGACAACGACAATAGCAATTACGACGACACAACTGACATGATACGGCACGATACGACACGACACGACACGATACGACACGACATGAGGGACAACGGAGGACAAGAACAACGTCGACGACGATGTCGTTGAAATCGACGTTGACGACGATGATGGTGCGGTAGCGACCTGGGAAAAGGGTCTTTTCTGTGTATTGGTAGTGCGTGTTGCCTCCGGTATCGCGGGAGAGATAGGGAGGCTAAAGAGGTGGAGAAATAGAAGAGGGCACGGTGGGTAGAAGGGAAGAGAAAAGAGAGAGAAAGAGAGAGAAAGAGAGAAAGCGTGTACATACGTATTGCTCGTATCTAACAAGAGATAGAAAAGAGGGGGTAGGGGCGATACACACAAAACCGATATCCCTCGGCTGTAAGCTATTCGGGAAAATGTGTTATGTATTTACGTAGAATATTGCGTAACACCGTGGACCGGGAAGTATTTGAAAACGTGCAACACACTGACAAGACTCTCCGTTCAGTTTGATACGCTTCCTTGGATGTTTCGCGAAAATCAGGACCGTACGCGTCTCCTACAGCTGGCCGTCCTACCGGCACTCTTTCTTTATTATCATTTCTCTGTTGCTTCAGTTATTTGCGAGCTTTAATATTATTCTACTATAAAAGAAGACGATGACGACAAAGATTGTAACAATAAATAGTTCAAGAATGTAGACAGAGAAAAAAAAAGTAAAAGGACAAACGCACCTCTCTTTCAAGCAAAGAATTAATCGTCGTGTACAATATATTACTTATCGTTTTACCGTTCCGAAGAAAACATTTTCTTATAATTTATCTCTTGTTGAGTTCGATTTCGTATATAGGTATTTTAATGTTTCTTTTGTTTGTTTCGGAAAAGAGCTTTTTAAATTTCCAGCCATGGTCGTTTTCGAGTTTTCTGCCTCTCTCTTTTCTCTCTCTCTCTCTCTCTCACAGACACACCGTTTTCTATTTCTACCACGCGAGGTCACGCGCGATAAGTAAGTTCTTCTCGCTTTGCTCGTTGGCGAGGAAGGTGCAGAGAGGCAGGGCGTAATTAAGTTTCTCTCCCTCTTTTTGTATATCGGTACTAGATGCGTGTTATAGGCTACGAATTAGAAATTATGACTACGATTATTTTTTTGGAAGAAAGAAAGAAAGAAGAAAGACGGAAATGGAGTAATAAGAGAGAATACGGATAGAGGAATATCGCTTGCAACACAGCACTCGACATACGCGCGCCGCGTTCTTTCATCTTTGTGAATGAAGCAGAAAGAAGCTCTCTCTCTCTCTCTCTCTCTCTCTCTTTATATTTTTTCATCGGCAGGGAGCTAGAGGGGTAAAGTATCTACGCCGAGATGGGGGATTAACGACAAGTAGTAGCCGTGTTTCTAGTTCGGCGGCTCTTCGATTCGTTGGTTCGTTCGTCGTTTGTCTGTCTGTCAGTCCGTTCGTCCATCCATTCCTTCGTCGCTACCGCGTCACGATAAAACGACTTATATATATATTATGTGTGTGTGTGTGTGCGCGCGCGCGCGCGTGAATAATGAGTGATTGGTGGGTAAGGCGCGTTTCTTCGATATCCTCTTTTCCGTCATTTTTATTTTTATGCAATATGTAAACACCCTCTTCTCTTTGTTCATTTATTCTTTCTTTTGATGACACTTTTTTGATTATACTAGGTATAAACAATATCGAAATAGTAGTTAGTTACAGTTAAAATCAATTATAAATATCAAACTGTTTGATAACTAAAAAATGAAATATATTATTTAACGTTCGATATCGATCCATCGAAGCTCGTTGTGCTTTCGACCTTATCGCATTTGCAACACCATTATTAAATGCATCGAATTTCGCGGCTGTACGCTCTTGGCCACACCACACCACCACTATACTACCGCCACCGCCACCATGATTATTCTTTTCTCGCTGCCGTGAATATAGCGAAAAACATTGCTCAAGTTTAGCAGAGAGCAAGCGTACAGCGAAATAACTAAAACCCCTCCAAGTGAATGTCACTTTAGCGTTTAAGTATAGGAACGCTCTTATGTACGTATGTATGTATGTATGATGCGCGTGTGCGTGCGTGCCTATTTACCAACCTATCTATACATTCATCCATCACCTACCTATATAAGATATATGTAATATACTGCGCGCGCATGCATATATTTACGTGCGCGCACAATCTTAGAGACAGTTGTATGTATACCGTCGTGTATACCCCGGTACGACGACGCGATGAATTTCTAAGGTTAGATTTAAAGTCGCATCTGTAATCCGTGGTTTTTTACAAATCGTAAAAAGCAATTTTGCCTTACTTAAAGTATTAGCAAAACGTTAGTTGAGAGATAAGAAAGGTATCTGGAAAGTGAAGCTGAGAAAAGGCGTTGTGTCTTCCTTATTTCCATACGCGCAAAGAGTCTACGTCGCATGTTTTCTTCTTTCCGTAGCGTTAGATTTTTGTTCGCGAAACAATGTTTTTAAAAGACGTTTCTCTACTAAATTAGTCTTGTCTTTTTTTTTTTCGACATATTTTAATTCAAGTTGTTTTATAGTGCTCATAGTGACTTTGTGGCGGTTGTGTTGTGGTGAAGGAGGTTGCATGAATTATCGGGATGAAGTTGCGTGCGTGAGCATTTAATCATATTAATAAATAAATACAGGAATAGCATTTTATAGGTTATCGACATTTTCAATATTTAGTAATAATTCATACATTCATTGTAATAGTATGCAACTTTAAAGTTGCATGACTAGATAGATATTTGATTTTCTTTGTCATAAATATGATTTGATTGATTGTTGAATGAAATGATGTTGAATGGTAATAATATAATAAAGTATATTTTTACAGCCTGACCTATGTGATTTGCCATGAAACGCGTTCGCGGGCTGGATGAAATAGCATCATCAGCAGCAACGTTAAAACCTTCATCGGTGAGCGGAGGAAGTAGTCTAAGCAGTGGTGGAGGATTAGAGTATCACTCAAGCAGTGGAATAGGCCTGATTGTACCTGGTCAAGCAGTCCGATCTGTTACTTCTAAAGAAATGCCAGGAAGTATTCAATATGGTACTGCCCAAGCTCAGCAGCAGTATACTGGGGCAATTGTTGTACCAACTGCTACTCCATCCCCTATTAAAGTATGTTATTGTCTTGATCTATACAAGATCATTATATTTATGAAATTCTATGTAAACCTAATGATTGTATGTAAGATTTTGCAAAGGACAATTTGTATATTTTTTTAGGGAACTGGATCTGCAGGAGGACTTAATTCTACATGCAGCGGTACTAATGTAAATACAAGTGGTGGATTACATGGCGGAATAAGTAGTGGAAGCAATCACAGTATGGGCTCTCAGCAACCGACTACAGGATCGCAAAGTCAAGTTCACACACAACAGCCAACAATTAGACATAAGGTTTGTTTTTATCATGCATATTATTAATTTAAGCAACCATCCATTATTATCGTCATTATTATCGTCATTATTATCGTCATTATTATCGTCATTATTATCGTCATTATTATCGTTTTTTAGATACATTCAAGCAATGTAGCACCATTAGCATCTACTCCTCCAGGTCCTGGATTAGGTAGCGGCAGTGGATCTCAACAATTTCAAAGATTAAAAGTCGAAGATGCGTTATCTTATTTGGATCAAGTCAAGTACAAATTCAGTGATCAACCACAGGTTTGAATTTTACTTTTCACATTTCTTATGCGCTAATAAATAAGTTAATATTATATGCTTATTCTATTTATAGGTTTATAATGACTTTTTGGATATCATGAAAGAATTCAAATCCCAGAGTATTGATACTCCAGGTGTTATTACACGAGTGAGCAATTTATTTAAGGGACATCCTGAACTCATTGTTGGTTTCAATACTTTTCTACCACCAGGCTACAAAATAGAAGTACAAGCAAATGAAAAAGGGTACGCATTCCAAGTATCAGTCAGTATTCCTAGTCCGACTGCTACTCATACGACAACGTTATCGCAACATCAATGTACGGTGAATGTTGGTTCACCACCTGTAGCTAGTCCACCAACACAGCCAGCAAAAGCACCACCACCGGTTTTACAAATAATGCAAGGGTAAGATATCTAACGAATCTTATATTTACAAAAACTCATATTTTATTGTTATATTAGGTTGATGCTTAATGATTACGATTGCTGTGTTCTAATCTTATACTCGATGCTTATTTTTTAGTGGACTTTTATTTAGTTTATGCTCTAGTAGTTAAATCAAATTGGTGTGATCGATTTTTGCTATTTTTCTATTTATGTCTATACATTAGTTAGGAAAAATTAATCAATAACAAATACATTCTTGTGATTTTATTGAATGAATTGAAATCTGCATGTAAAGCAGGAAAAACTTCTTTAACCAGTTAAATGAATTTCACGAGTATATTCGACATGAAGAAGTGGCAGGATTTTATGTCTCACTAAATATTAAATATTAGATATTAATAAACATTAATGTAGAGATATTGGATGGTAAGAAAGCTGCATGAAAAAGATAAATTATTAAATTAATTAACAAAATATTGTTAAACTTTCTTTTATTACAATTTACAATTCGTGAAATGAGTTAATCGCAAAGAGTTGTATGGGAACCCAGCGACACTTACTTTGTGTTCGACAATCGATATACTCGTGATGATTTGTGCGACACACAGCGGTGCGAACTTTTCATTTTGAAAAGTCACAGTTAACTGGTTAATTAACTTGTGTACATTTCGATTTTGCTTCTACAAAGTTCGCGATGAAAAGAAAACTTTAACATTAAATTTAGTTTGAAAAATATCTTAATGTAAAAATTATGTTGACGTTACCAATCTAATATTTCCATAAATGATCAATTTTTGTAGATCCGGGAGTATACATCATGCCTTGACGAACAATATTTCCAACAGCAGTTTAACGGTTCACGCACCCTCGCCACCTCCTATCCAATCTTACAACAATTCTCATGTTAGTGCTGCACAAGCTCAGGCAGTAAGTCAAGCTCTTAGTCAAGCTCAAGATGGTATTCCAACGAGCGGCCAAACGCAACAAAGTCAACCTGTAGAGTTTAACCATGCTATTAACTACGTTAATAAAATTAAGGTACTTATTCTTATACTTCTTTATAAATAATAATGATAATAATAATAATAATAAGGTTTTGAATATATAGTAGGAACTATTCAAATTAAATGTTTATTTATTCCCTATGTACACTGTTATTATTTGTTTCTTGTAGAATCGCTTTCAAGGTCAACCTGATAAATACAAACGATTTCTAGAGATATTACATACGTATCAAAAAGAACAACGTAATTTGAAAGAATCAGGTCATATAAGCGGTACGAGTACTGGTGGTAGTGCTACTACTAATGTTAAACATTTAACAGAAGCTGAGGTTTATAGTCAAGTTGCTAAATTGTTTGAAAATCAAGAAGATCTACTTGCCGAATTTGGTCAATTTTTACCTGATGCGACTAATCAGCAAAGTTCGTTGGTGAGTCCTGCGATTGGAAGATGCATGTTCAATATTTGAAATATTAAATACAAATATATATTATCTTTGTTTAATTATTAATATTAATCAAGACTAGTCTGCAATGTTTCAGAGTAACAAGGCTGCTCCAGTAAGTGATCACACAACAATAATAAAGAAATCATTGAGTCTTAAGGCAACTTACAACAATTCTGCTAACATTTCACGAGATCTTCGAGAATCAAGTGGCCAATGTATATTGGAGCGTGATACCAGAGATCAGAGAGGAGATCGTGATCGTGAAAGAGATAGATCAGGTGTCCGAGAAATCAGCACTGGGCAAAAAATGGGTCACAGTACTGGCCAGCTAAAAAGGAGTCCATCATTTTCGACTTCTGTTACGGCAGGTAATTCTCACATTCAACATGGACCACCTCCATTAAAAAAGCATAAAGTAGCATCAATGCGAGATGTTACTATAGCTGAAGCTGGAAAATATGGTACATTGAACGATTATGCATTTTTTGACAAGGTTAGTGTACTATCTTTCTCTTTTATTC